CTGTAAAACACTTCTTCGTGTTCACAACAAAGAAATCACCAGGTTTTCACCAAGTTTTGAAAATTCACCAGGTTTTCACCAAGTTTTGAAAATTCACCAGGTTTTCACCAAGTTTTGAACATTCACCAGGTTTTCACCAGGTCTGGAAATTTCACCAGGTTTTCACCAAGTTTTGAAAATTCACCTGGTTTTCACGCAGTACCTATCTCCAAAGTTCATCGGATGTTCGTCAGTTATTTTACAGTCAGCCCGGTGTTCATTAAAATATGAATTTTGAAATGTCATCAGGTTTGCGCAAGGAGCGAAAAGACCAAGCGAGCGTCAAAAATGATAACGTGTGACCTGGATGTGCTTCCAAAATATCATATCATATCAATATCAAATCCCATTGAGATGCTTATACTTATACTGACAATCTCAGCTTTTCATATCCAACCAAATATATCTAATTAGTTATTGTACGGTGGAACTTCCTGATACCACATGGTATTCACATGTATTTACAAATCATATTGAGGTCAGTAAAGTCAGCTGCCTTCAGGGGCATGTATCCAGCATTGAACTAAACATGCAGCTGAGGGATATCTTAAACCATCTTAAACCCACTGCAGAGGCTGCAGGATGAACAAGTGTTTTTGTTCACCTAATTTTGGGCCAAAACACTTATATGTGTTTTACGACTCTTGGAGCACTCCCAAAACACTTCTTTGGTTTTGATATACCGTCTCGGTCTGGACAACCCCAACTTAGCAACTTAACAAACCAGGCCACATCATTGAAAGTGGTAACTGCAGTATCCACTATTTGTGCCATGGTTGGAGCTGGAAATGGCTTTGGTATAATTGTAAATCAAATTTTGTAAAATTCAAATGTTCAAATAACAGTGAATCATTGTTAGTGTTTCAAAAATAGTGTTTCAAAAATAAATCATTGTAATGAAATTTACTTTTCACATACACTATATTTTGATGTGTTTGAAAAAATGCAAAGGTTAACATAACCAACAACAAAAAACATAAATTATTAGTTGTGGACCATAGTTTCTGTTGGCTTTGTAGTAATAGATTTTGTTTACTCAAATTAAAAAGAATGTAACATATTGTTTTGTTTTGGTTTGTGATTTCAAATTTGGAAAACACAAAGCAATTAGAACATGTAATGCTTTGTTTGCAGAAAAAATATATATTGATAGTTTTAATATTAAATATATATTTATTGTTATTTTGATATTTAAATTGAAATTGTTTATGTGAAACAAACAAAACCACATATATTTTCAGTTTAGATTCTAAACTGAAAATCAAAAATTACAGTTTTCAGTTTAGATTCTAAACTCAAACTGTGGATTTCCAAATTTTCAGTTTAGATTCTAAACTCAAAATTATATATATATATATATTAAATTTAACTATTATAACCAAACATTATTTTTTTTTGCTGTGAATTGTGTTTGATTTGTAATTTTTAAGGAAATATATTCAACTGTTGAATTGTGTTTTAAATGTTTGTTGCAATTTTGATGTTATAAAATCACTAAGTGTTGTGAAAATTTATTTTTTGCATGACCTTGAAACCTCATGTAACCTTTTTGCATGGAAAGCACAAAGTGCTATCATGAACATGGAAAGCACTTAGTGCTATGGACAAACATGAAAGCACCAAGTGCTATGCAAGTAAGCACCAAGTGCTATGCAACCAAGCACTGGGTGCTATGCATTGAAACCCACATCACCTTTTTTTCTCCTCCAGCCATGGATCTTTGGTGGTCACTTCCACTGGAGTCCACCTTTGGCCATGGAGTCTTTCCATGGCTTCTCACACATCTGGCAGATGGTCCACTGGGCTGCCTTCCTGAGATACACCCAGGATGGGCAGCCCTTGGTTTGGCACCTCACTGCAATGTGGTAGATGGCCTGCTCAGTGGTGAAGTGGTCCTGCAAAGGCCATTGAAATTCACATGGAAAGCATGAAATTTGGCAAACACAAAAAAAAACAAAAGCAAGCAAAAGGTCCTGGTCCTGCACATGGTCGGTTTTGCTTGCAGGCTTCTTGGTGGGCTGGTTCTTGGGTTTCTTGGACATCTTCATGGCCTTCATGGCCTTCATGGCCTTCATGGCTTTCATGGCCTTCATGGCCTCCATAGCCTTCATATCTTTCATGGCCTTCATGGCCTTCATGTTTTTCATGGCCTTCATGGCCTTCATGGTCTTGGAGCTTGCTGCTTTGGCCATGGCTGTCAACACACAGTTGGCTGGAAGTGGCTGAGATCACAGTGGCTTGAGTCGAATGGCACCTGCAACCAAGCAAAACAAAATTCAAATGACATGCAGGTTTGGCACCTCAAGCACTGAGTGCTATGGCAATGGCTGTAAGCACTATGTGCTATGTAAGCACTTTGTGCTAGATGACTTTTGGCTGGACACTGACAAAAGTTGGACCACATTGCATAAGCACTGGGTGCTAGACAAGAACAGTGGGAAACAGTGTGCAAGCACTAAGTGCTAAGGACAAGCAGCATGGCACATACAAACAAGCAGCAGAACAATTCATGTTTCTTCCCCTTTTCTAATCATCACCAAAGTCCCAGTCATAGCCATACTTTTCAAGCCTGGCCTTATGCTGGTGGAGCTGGTCCTTGGCCCTTTGGCTCTTTTGGCATTTCTCTTGGATGTAAGTGGCAGCCTCTTGGTGCTGGCCCATTTCAAAAAGGGCAGCCAGATGGATGAACCTATTGAACCATCCCTGGCTGCCTCTGGGCCTCCATTGGCTACCAGCTGCTGGTCCACTACTGGAGCTGGCCTGCATGGTGCTTGTGATTGGCAACAAAACTCAAAAAAACAAAGCACCAAGTGCTAATACACTTACAATGGTGCCTGCCTGGCTTTGGTTCATGGCACTTGGTGCCACACCAGAAAGGCTGGTGGCTTGGCCAAAGGCAGCTGGTGCCTCCAAGCAATGTGAGTTCATGACAGTATATGTACATGAAACCAAAACCATTGTGAGTTTTGAATATATGTGATGTGAATGCAAACAAATACACATGTAATATGGAAATAAGCTGCCTTGGGTGGAGCATTGGTGGAAGCTGCCCAGGGTGGAGCTTGGCTGGGTGCATCCTTGGCCTAAATGCAAGAAAATCAAAAATAAAAAGGTATAAAAGCACTGGGTGCTACAGACATGTGGAAGCACTAAGTGCTATGACAAAATATGATCACATAGATAAACTATTCCAACATATATGCTAAAATTATATTTGCTAACATGGAAACATATCAATCTGAAGCACTATGTGCTAGAAAAAAAATCACACAACCATGCACACATAAATGCATTGGAGACTACTGGGGTCAGTACTTTATTCATGGCTTGGACACTGGCCTGCCATTGCATTCAGCATAAATTGAAAGAGCTTTGGTTGCACTGCTTGTCTGGCCTGTTGAGCAAAGACCTGTGGTGGTATGGCAGGCATGGGTGGCATCATTATGCCTGCTGGCATTGGGGGATATGGTGCAAACACCTGGCTGGCCATTGGCTGCTGCTGCATGGCTTTGGGTGGTTGATGCTGGGCTACCTGGGGCATGGCTGCCTGTGGCATGGCCTGTGGCATGGCTGCCTTTGGCATGGCTGCCTGTGGCATGGCTGCCTGTGCCTGCAGGTTGGGTGCCTGAGGCCTGGGTGCACCTTGTTTTGGTGGTGTTTTGGGCTGCATGTGCCCAAATGGGTTTTGTACCAAAGGCTGTGGGCCTGGTGTCTCCTTGGCCATGGTGGCCTTCTTGGCTGGTGTCTCCTTGGCCATGGTGGCCTTCTTGGCCATTGGTGTCTCCTTGGGGCTTTGCTTGGCCACTGGTGTCTCCTTGGGGCTTTGGCTGGCCACTGGAGTGTCCTTGGCCTTTGGCATTTCTTGGGGTGAAACTTGGACATGGGTTGGAGGTGTGCTGGGGCATGGGGAAGGTGGCTGGGTCGCATCATCTGGCTGCCCTGCTGGGCTGGTTGGACTGGGTTGCCCTGTCTTGGCAGCCTGCAAGTTGCACAGGTGAAACATGTATCACATGAGTTGCTCACTCAGCAAAACACCTGGTTGCTCAAGTACTGCAGCAAATACTGGTCATCTGGCTCTGGGTCCTGGCAAAGCCAGTCTAGAGCCTTGCATGGTCACAGCTACAAAAAGCATGTGCATGTCCTCATCCATTCTCTCAGAATGTGGGAAAGCAGCCTCATCAAGCCACCAATGGTTGCATGTTGAACATGCATTGGTTGATGCAATCCTATGTGCTTAAGGTTTTGCAGCAAGTTCAGCAAGCTGAGCTCATCACTTTGGATCTGTATCCCAGTGCCTTGCCAGCCTGCACAAACATATGGGAAAAGCATTGAATGCTAGTCATGGATTCTAATCAACATATGATGCAACCTACAAAAGCACTATGTGCTATGCACTGCAAAAGCACTGGGTGCTAGAAAAGCAAAAAGTAAGCACTGTGTGCTGGGAAATGGAAAAAAGCACAATGTGCTATGGCAAAGGGAAAGCATGTGTTTGCTGTGAATAAGCACTTTGTGCTATGGCAAACAAAGAGACCTGCTTGGGCATGGTTGGGTTGGCTGCTTCTGCCTGCCAAAAGAAAGCATGGCTGAAGCAGCACTCATGCAAGTCTCAGTCCACAGGTCCTGGGGCCCATCACTGCTTGTGGCCAACTCCTGCAAGTGTTGGCTAGTGCCATTGCATGACCACACTATTCCACACAAGTTTTTCCACATTTGGGTGCCTCCAGGGACATGGGCCTGGTGCACACCTTGCTACCAACTAGTTTTGAGCTTGTGGCTTGAGCCTGGACCATCACACACACCTTTGTGCACCTGGCCTTCTGAAAAGCAATGTGTGCTATGCTAGCTGGCTGACTGCACCAAAGCATTGAATGCTATTTGGTTGCCTGCTTGCACAACACAAGGCACATGTTCACTGCAGCAGAAATTCTCTTTTGCACAGCAAGCTTGGCATGGGCACTCTAAGTGTCAGCTCTTAGAGGTGGCTGTGCTCCTGCTGCCTTTCTCTTCCTGGGTGCTTTCTCTGGTGCTTTCAAAGATGCCCAGTCTTCTTCCAAGAACTGGAACACTGTTGTCAACTGCTCTGCAACCAATTCAACTTGGAAGTCACATAGTTTGTACCTCAGCTTGGGCACCAGCACAGAGACTGTGGAACCAGAAATGTCAATGTCTACAATCATGTCATCCTGCATCTTCTTGGTGTTTTTGTTGGCAGCTTTGCTCTTCATGCCCATGGCTTCTTCACTTGGTGGGTCTTCTCCCTGCCCTTTCAAAATTGCCTCCACTGTGGCATCCCTCTTCTCCTTGAGTTGCTTCAGCAGTTCAGACTGGGATAAGCTGCTGTTTTTCCCTGGGTTGCCACACAGGAGCTGCAATAGCTTGTGGTGGCTGGCCCTCATTTTCAAAAAATACCTATCTTCATGCTGAACCACCAACTCTGCTGGCAAGGAGATGGGTTTTCCATCATTCCAAGTAACTTCAAAACTTTGGAACACTTTAGCCATGCTGTTTCTTGGGCCTGAAGCAACACATGTGCAGCAAGTGGCTGCATGCTTAAGGCTCAAGCTTCTTGAAAAGCACTATGTGCTATTCTTCTCACCAAAACTGCTTGCCAACACACTAGCAGTTGCAAGTGCAGTGCTTGTGGCAAGTGGTGTTTTGAGCCAGCCTTTTCCTTTGGTGTCTGCTTTCTCAAAACTGCCAGTGCACCAGGTGGCATGGCTCAAGCAAGTCTGGGCTTTTTGCCTTTCTTCTCACTCACAGGAGCCTGGCCCAAGAGGAGAGCACCTTGGTCAACCTTCTGAGTGTTCCTCCAGTATGGGATGGTGTATCCCTGCAGCTTGAAAGATGCCTTCTCCATGTTCACTTCTGTGGGCTCCAAAGTGTGGCCAACATGGAAGTAAGGAACTGCAATGCCCTTACATTTCTCTAAATCCACCTTTGGTGCCATGATCTGGAACTGGCTTGTGGGCCCTTGCATGATGCACATGCTTGCCTTGACTGCTTCCCCTTTCACAAAGGACAAAGTGCCCACTGGGAACGGTTTCAGCTTGCCTTTGGCAAAGGTTTGGTTGGCAAAGGCTCCATGCACACCAGCAGCAAAAGCAATGCCATCCCCTGTGGCTTCCTGTTTGTAGTGGGCAACCAAAGCTGTTTGAGCTTGTGCCTTGGTAGCTTCCAAGTCCAAAGCAATGTTGTTCTCTGGCAGCAAAGACTGGAGCTCTTGGGCAGTCAGTAGCCTTGGTGGCTTGCCAATGGCTTTCTTCCAGTCCTTAAGGTCAGCATGGAGCACTTTCAGCCCTTGTGGGCCTGACCCTGGAGCTTGGAACAAGGGAGAGTGCTCAAAGTGGGCATGGTTTTTGTCCACTTTCACAAGTGTCCAAACTTCATCTTCACCCTTCTTCTTGTAGAAGCTGTTCAGCTCCATGCCAAACCTGTCCATGGCAATCTTGGTAGGGTCAGAAGTCTCCTGCCACAAAATATGCTTTCAGAAAGAAACAACAATGAAAAAAGACTCCAACATAAGCACTGAGTGCTACCATGGCTGGCATTCATGAATTGCTCCTGGAGCGAAGCAGGTGTCTCAATGGTAGTTTTGTCATGGCCAACAGCAGGTGCAGCTGGCAAGCTCCCATTGTCCAATGCCATGCATTCTTCACCAAAAGCATTGGCAATCTCTTGCAAAGACTGGAACTCATGGTCTTCTCTCCCATTGTGCTGTTTTTTTGGTCAAAAATAGAATGGTTCTGACCAAAGCCCTGCCCATGGTGGACAAGCCTGGTGGGCTTTGGTGCTTCCCAGCCTTCTGGAGAAGCTCATAGTTCACTTGCAATGCTTTCTCTGCAATGAGGAGCTGGGGCCTTTGGGTTTGTTGCTTGAGCTTTTCCAAATCGCTTTTCACCAGCAGCTTCCCCATTCCGTCCTTGCAAATGGGGCTGGACAAGTTCACTGCCAAAGCCCCTGCTCTGATCCATGGAAAGGTGGTGGTGGCATCCTTGAAGTCCAAGTAGGCAGTGGCCACCATGAATTCCTCTCCAATGGCCAAGCTTGTGGAAAAGCATCTGCCTGGGTGCAAAGATGTGAAGCAATGAGATGTCACACAACATTGTTCACACATTGCAAGCTAAGAAAAAGCATTGAATGCTAGCTCATGCAATGCTTTTGATGTGCTGCCAGGTGCTCACATGCTGGAGGCATTGGATGATTGGGAAAGTCTCCCCTCCACTGTAGTGCTTGACATAGTGGGCCAATGCTTGTACATATGGCATGCACTTTGGTTTTGTCATGGTGGCCATGGCAAGTGCTTGTTGGAGGTTGTGGCAGTGGTGGTAACTGGCTGCCACATGGGTCATTACCTCCACCTCATTGCTTCCCATGGCCACACCATGGCTGGCATTCAAGGCCTGTTGCACCATGCATGGAAGGTCTGGGAAGCAATCCTCCACACAGGCTTGGAGAATGCTCCATTTCCACCCAGTGGTGCACATCTTCTGGAACACTGTGGCTGGTTGGCCTTGTGTGAGTGCTTCTATGGACATGGTTCCATTGCACATGGCCATGAGCTCCTGGTGTTCTGTGTTGGCATTGTGGAAAACAGCTTTGCAAAACTGGCTAAGGTGGCTGGACCCCAGTGACAGGTACCTTTCTTGGCCACTGACATTGGCAAGCTGGCCTGCACTGGCATTCACAAGGTCCTTGTTGGCTTGGAGCTGGCTTTGCCTCTTGCTAGCATCAGTGGCCAATTCTATGGCCACAGATTCTTGGATCTTCGACAGATCTGGCCCACATGCCAAGATTCTGGATCCTTTCTCATGGCAGTCATACCAAGACAGCATGCCACCTCCTCTGTTGCTGGGGTGAACTAACAACATAGCAGGTGCCACCTCAAGCTGGTAAAGGTGGCCTGCAGACTGAAGCATGTCCCTGATTTGGATCCACTTTGTGTTGACTGGCAAGGTTTGGTCATCCTTAACCTGGGCCACCTTCCTTCGGAGTGCTGCATCCATGGCTGAAGCAACTCTGTTCAGGTGCAGGTTTGGTAATTTCAAAACATTGTTGCTGGTGCCAGCTCTGTTGCTGGTGCATTTGATTTGAGCAAGGCAAACAAACAAGGTTCTTAAACTGCATGATGAAAAGCACTGTGTGCTAGTGGCATGCAAACAGGTAGCTGCATGGGCAAAGCACTGAGTGCTATATGAAAACATGTGGTCCTGGCAAGCAATTGCCTTTGGAAGCATGGTGCAGCAAAGACCATGGTTGGCAAGCTTTTTTGCCCACTTGGCCCAGCCAGATTTGAATGTGAGCAAGCTCCAAAGCATGAACAATTTCAGTTGAAAAGCTTGCTCATAGCAAATTTTGAAAAATTGCTAAGGGTATGTAAAGTCCCTAAAGGTTTAGGAAAATTAACATAGTTTAGAAGAATTAGCTAACTATTATGTAACTATCATAACATATCATAACCTTTACACATGGTTAGCAAAGCATTAGCATGGTAGTAGCAAGCAGATAGCTGATAGATAGCAAGCATTTAGCTAGTGATGTCTAACCCTGCTAACCTATTAGCAAGGAACCAGCCGACTCAAGTGGCTGCAGCCGACGATGAAAGGTATACCTCGTCTGTGCGGCGGGGGCGGCTGGGGTCGTTCCGGACGCGATCGCTTCCTCCTCTGTGTTCTGCAATGAGTGGTTGTGTGTCTGTGTGCGTGGTTCTCTGCGTTTCTTGAAGCTGTGGTTGCAGATCGCATTGAATTGTAATGGCTGCATGAATGTTGCATGGGCTTTGTTTCGGGGAGGAAACCGCAGAACGAAACCTTGTGTTTTTCCGTGTAAAGTGGCTGCAGCCGACGATGAAAGGTACCTCGTCTGTGCGGCGGGTGCGGCTGGGGTCTTCCGGACGCGATCGGTTCAACCTCTGCGTTGTGCAATGAGTGGTTGTGTCTGTGTGCGTAGTTCTATGCGTTTCTTGAAGCTGTGGTTGCAGATCGCAAATGGCTGCATGAATGTTGCATGGGCTTTGTTTTGGGGAGGAAGCCGGAGCACGAAACCTTGCGTTTTTCTGTGTAAAGTGGCTGCAGCCGACGATGAAAGGTACCTCGTCTGTGCGGCGGGTGCGGCTGGGGTCGTTCCGGACGCGATCGGTTCCTCCTCTGTGTTCTGCAATGACTGGTTGTGTCTGTGTACGTCGTTCTATGCGTCTCTTGAATCTGTGGTTGCCGATCGCAATGTAATGGCTGCATGAATGTTGCATGGGCTTTGTTTTGGGGAGGAAACCGGAGCACGAAAACTTGTGTTTTTCCGTGTAAAGTGGCTGCAGCCGACGATGAAAGGTACCTCGTCTGTTGCATGGGCTATGTTTTTTTGCGACAGTGCGGTCCACGAGGGCAAACGCCATGGCTATCGGACCTTGCGACTTCTGGCGGCTTGCAGTCGATTTCGAATTGCTGGATCTCCATGCGCTCAGCACCGTGAGCGCTGCTTCGACAGCTACGAATGCTTGTGTGCTACAGAGCGCCAACCTTAGAAACTTGCAGCAACGCAAAGTGGAAGAGGAAGGGAATTTGGAGTCGCAAAACTTGAGGATTGACATTGGCTTCGAAGAAATGGCAGCTCTCAAGCATAGCTTGAAGATTGCATTGCACGTCTACGACGCGTTGCAAAATTCACGGTGCTTCGCGTGCAGACGAAGTATCCCAACCGAGGAGCGCAGGAATATTGGTTTGGGTTACTTCAAATATGGACTCTGTGCTGGTTGTTTCGAAGCCTTGACGACTGTTTGCACCCAACAAGACGATACCTTGGCAGAACGACGCTGCGTTGCCCTGACAGATGATGGTGTGCACGCTGCGGCCATGTTGTTGAGTGCTTACCGAGCAGGTGCAGAATGTCGTTTTTCGCAAGCAGATGCAGCTTGGGTCCGCAATGATTCATTGCGGATAGTGAGAACTTCTTGCCTGATTTGCTTCGTGAAGTGCCATGACGGCCAACCAGGCTGCCAACGTCATAAGCTGTCCAGCCTTTCGTGCCAGTGCGGGTCGAAAGAGTTGCCAAAAGCCTAGACCAAGTGTAGCGCAGAGAAAAAAGCAGCTGTTGACCTTGGACTGCGTGAATCTCCTTGACAGGTAACAACTACACCATGTTTACACTTGCCGTTGCGATTTGATGCAATGCATCAACGCTTGACCTCAATATTGTAAATATATTATATTATGGTTTTGGCATGCAGAAGAATCGAGATGAGTTACGCTCAACCTTGCTGACGTGCAGAAGCGCCGAGATAAGTTGAAAGTAGCTCCAACGCATGAGAAAGTTTGAGCTGCGCTCAGATGACATGAAAATAGCCAAGAAGAACGTAGCTGACATATGGGAAGACATGAAACAGATGAGAAGAGCTCAGGTGTGAAGTGTGAAGGGTGCAATGTGATGTGTGAGGAAAGTGCTTGCTTGACGTTGCATTGCACCGGGGACGCGTGCAGGTCATGTTCTTGGACAACAACACTGCAACAGCTTCGCACAAAGCACGCACGCACAGGCCTGGCTGGCGCACTGCGCATGCAAGTTCCTTTGTAGAAGTACTGGGAAGTGATTCATGAAAGCTTAGATGACATGTGAGAAGAGATGAGATGAGAAGAGCTGAGCTGGGATAAGGTGAGAAGAGCTCAGATGAGATGAAGTGTGGGGTGTGAAGAGTGCAGTGTGAAGTGTGGGGCGTGAAGAGTGCAGTGTGAAGTGTGAAGTGTGAAGTTTGGAGTGTCAAGGAAGCAGTGAGAAGTGAGAAGTGTGGACTATGAAGTGTGGACTGTGAAGTGTGAAGTTTGGAGTGCGGAGAGTGCAGTGTGAAGTGTGGATTGTGAAGTGTGGAGTGTGAAGTGTGAAGTGTGGAGTCTTAAGAGTACAGTGTGAAGTGAAGTGTTGACTGCGAAGGGTGCAGTGTGAAGAGTGCAGTGTGAAGAGTGCAGTGTGAAGTGTGTAGTGTGGAGTGTGAAGACTGTCAAGTGTGAAGTGTGAAGTGGAGCTTCAAATGTGACATGTGAAAACAAGACACCAGTTTCGCAGAGTGCACGCACGCACGGGCTTGGCTGGCGCACGGCGCATGCAAGTTCTATAGATGAGAAAGGTTATATATATATATCTTTAAGGCAACTTCCGCCCCGCCTCGTGCGGGTACTACTGGTAGATCCAACAATCTCCAACTTAAAGGATGGCTATGTACAATAATTATTGTATAATCACCTATACAAACCAGACCTGTTCATTTCTGACCATCCTCACTCATCCTCGATCCACGGATTGCAGTGTGTCATGGGTTGCTCAATGCCGGGTGCCCATGAGTCCCAACAAGTTCGAAGTTTGGCCATTTTGGGTCCTAAATCCCCCTATAGCAACCAGTAGAAGCTAACTCCCGCAGCGACTCCGTGACTCAGTGAACATCTAGAGTAATTTGGACTCTACTCTACCCTCTGTAAACTAACATAGCTATGGAACATGGACCATTTATAGATGAACCTATGTCAGTTTACAGTCATACAGTTGATCAATTGCAGCGTTAATCCATTATCCAAAATCACATGTGACATTAAACTGACAAAAAAAATAATCATGTAAACATTTAGGGTAAACCATGCCAAAAAAATACGTTTTGTGGGGGGCAGTTGAATCTATGTTTCAGGTCAACTGGTAGACGTTTTACTCCACTTGCCCAACATCCGTCCCATTGATCCATGCCCGTCCTGCTTGAGGCAACCCGGCGAACGGGTGCACCCTGAATCCGCATGGCCCGGCACCCAGGTTTACACATCCGCTGGGGGATGTGTCTGATCATGGGAGATATAGTTCCCTAAATGGCTAAATGGTCATCTTCAGAAAGTGATGACCAGTTGATATTAAGGGATCCTGTGCGATGCGTCCCACCACTGCTTTAGTTTAAGTCTACCTGGGAGGTCGTATGCAACTTGTAGTAGACTGTCCCTGGACCTTGTGTGACCTTGCAAAGATGTAGTTGTATCCATCATTGGGTCCCTGAAAGCCGCAAAAGCCAGTGGAATAAATGTTGGTGAACCTGTTCTTTATGGCTTGATGCCGCATAAATACAGTGTTCTTATTCGGTTTAGTCTCAACAGTCTTTGATGAAACTTGCTTTTTTTGGTTCATTGCAATTATTGGTTCCTGAATCTTTGTTTGACATTTTTTTCTGGTTGGTTGGCTTAGATGTGGTTCTATTTCTTAAAGTCATTTTGATGGGTAGCAACGCATTAGTTCTTTTGCTGCATCCAGAAGCACTTGTTAGCCACCCCCTGAGTTTGTTTGGCCAACATCATAAATTCTTCCGGTTAACATGATGTTTTGAGATACTTCAACAGTTGAACCTTTATTTTTTTTAGAGGTCAACTAGCCATGTTGATCCATCCCAAGGTTCGGCGAGGCTTCCCATGTTCTTTGCCGTTGTGAAAATCAGTGGTGTTGAGGGTGAGCTCCTCATTCTTTTCCGGTGAAATTCATTTTTTTTGCGGGTAAATTCCATGGATTGGTGTAACATTTACCGGAACCCCCAGTAATTTGTCATGGGATAAACCATAGTTTCCGGCTAAGGGTTTTCCATCAAACACATGATGGTGAAGACCCATTTCCTGGCAAAATCCCTACGAATCACCATCTGTGGTGGTTGAATCCCTATAAATTCATCATTTCCTATTGGTTAAATCCTTATCAATCCTGTCTTATCCTTATGTTTTCCCACACAGTCCCTCCGTGTCGAACAGGAGCTTCCGGGTTTATGTTTTTGGTTCAAATCAAACATCACACACAGCTTCAGTGGATCAAAAAGCGAGGTTGGCCAACCATACTTTTTATTCATCCCACTTCAACCACATGGGTTTTCCTTAAAGATTGACCATTGTTTGACACTACTGCGGCTGTAGATTTCTGTCTTAACGGCACAAATAATTATACTATTGATTGTCTTGTGGCTCCCAGCAGCTCCGAGGGGGACTGTGTAAGAGACACAACTGCCTTGACTTCGGATGAGAAGTAGTTGGTTACCAAAACCACCACCCACCCAGTTCAAATTGCAGCTGCCCCTTGCTAAAAAAAGGTTCCTTGCAACTTTGGTCGCTTCCGTCACTAGCTTCATCGATGGACGTCGCTTCTAGCATTGCTTGCGGAGCTCGACTCTCGTGGGGAATGTGCTGCTAGCCTTGGGGACTCTCAATGGCCACGGATTTCAAAGCCGTTGGCTTCGCGCATTGCGTTCTGATCAGCGGAAGTTCAAGAAACGCAAAACTTTCCGGGACGGTGCAGCAAGCCTTGAAAGGAGATGGCAGAGATATTTTAGTGCCTTGAATCGGCGGGCATTCAACGCTAGTCAACACATGTCAACACTATGTCCCTAGGTTTTTCATGATTTTTCCATGAAATGCCTATGTTTTTCTCATTTCCCACGCCCCCAGGTCGCCACCTCACCAGCGGGGGCTCCAGCGGCGGCGCCGCCTCGGCGGTGGCCACGTTTTTGGCGCCCGTGGCGGTGTCCGAGGCGCGGCCCGCAAGATCGCGTTCAGGTGCCTTAGGTGGCTGAATTCTATGGTTTATGGGTGTTTATGGTAAATAATCTATAGATAGTTAATGTGGTTTATAAACCAACAGATAACTTGGGAGCACTATCCTGCAGGAAAATCAAGTTTCTCATAGTTTCGCCAAGAAAAGTGGCGATGTTTTGTGGGTCTAGCTGATCTATGATGGCCAATTTTTCGCGTCAATAACTCCAATAACTACAGGCTCCCAGGCAACGCCCCACTTCGGCAGGACACCGGTGGTTCCACCCGATCACCGGCCTTTTCCAACGGGAAACTTGGAACTGCTGGAACGGCATGGGGCCGAAGCATTGTCAAATCTCATGGGGATCCAATAAGCTCTATATCACGGTTTGTCTGAAAATGCTGAAAATATCAATCTTTTTGCAAGGTTTGTCTGAAAATGTGGCAACCCCGGCAGTTTGAATAGGGAACTTATGATCAGCCATCCAATTTTGGGGTGCACTATTTTCAGACATATGTGATAGATGATGTTAAATGGGGTTCGGCCAAAAAAGGCAAGTGCAACACCTGCAACACCTGCAACACCAACCACAACCAGGATTGAGAGATCTCTCCTCAAAGGTGACAATCCTCAATGTTTGGGCCTCATTAAGGGCTTCTTCGCCACCAACGTTGTCACGGTTCCATTGTTGTCACCTTTGGCGGGTGGTTGAATCGTTGTGGCTCATGGGATCTCATGGGTTATTTCGGACATGACATGCGCAGAGGTTACAATTCAAAAGACTAACCCGAAGATCGTGAAATGTTGGGATGTAATTTCAATCCATTTCAATATAGTTCAATATTAGTTACATGTATTGAAAAGCAACCAGTGTCACATTTGAAAGGACTTTGTGTGTATTAAAAAACACTTAGTCACCGGAGAAACGCCAACACCCTCCAAGAACATGCAGGACGCCCGCCTCAGCAAACATTATAACGACCCTACTTTGACGTCATGGTGGAAGTATCCTCAAAATGGTCTTGCTTCAGGTGGGTAAATGATAATGATTGCTGGAATGGGGGAAATGACTCCAAATTGACTTTGGAGACAGTGCATGATCTGCCTAGTCTTTTGTAAAGACTGTTGTCAACTAAGTGGTAAACCTCCAGTCAAGAGTGGTATACCGTATACCACTTGGTTGCGAAGTGCGCATGAGATGTGATTGCTGTTTCACTTCAAAGTTTGTTTTGTTGATTTTAATGTCAATCACACATACATCATAATGTGAGCAACCACACAAGCAAATTGCAGATTATGTTTTTGTTATTACTATACAATTACTATACCTAATAATATATATACACACTTCAACTTTTACAGTTTTACTTATTTTATGCTACGTACATCCCATCGTATATATGGACTGCTTTTGGCCCACCAAAAACTGTTCGTGTTGCGACCTCGACCTGGGTGACCTGCTGCAATGGCGTAGGAACTTTGGCTACGACCCCACACGGAACCATTATCCCAATGCTGGGAATCCAGGCGGCTTGGCGTTTTTTTATCCATGCGCTACGTTGGTTGAAAAATCGCATAAACTAGAAAACTAGTTTATGGTAAAATCCATAGAATATCAGATCTAGAATCTAGACTTATAGTTCATCTAGACTTAAAGTTCATAATCATAAATAGATCTTTTGGTATTTAAGATCGTAGATATGATATATCTAGACATATCTTATATAGTTCATATGGCTTAGCCAACAAAAATCACTGGGAGCCACTGCCTTGTTACAACCGATTCACCACTTTGAAGCGATGCCCTCCAGGGTCTTGAGTTTCTTGTGTGAAGTCCTGCCCGTGTGTGTGAGTCTGAAACGAGGGTATATATATATATCTATATATATATATAGCACCCACTTGTGGCATCTTGTGGCCATAAGTATTTATATATATATATATACATATACATATATACCCTCTGGTTATTTAACATCGCCATGGAAAATGGTCCATTTTTAGATGGTTTACCTATTGAAAATGGTGATTTTCCATGGTTATGTTAGTCATAACCAGATGGTAGACTATAGACGTTAAATAATGCAATCATCAGAAACCAGTGGATTTAGCTGTGCCCTGCTAGCTTCCCGGTTGATCGTTGAAGCGATCCCCCAACGCAGTGAAGTGTCACCATGGACCATGGATGTGAATCCCCGTTTGAATGCCCAGTGAAGTACCACCATGGATTTTGACTTACATGTATGTATGTAAATCAATCCTAAAAGCACCTATCAAGCAAACTTACATCTTGCCTCATATATCTTAGGCGTGTTTACTAGTGTGCTTGTTGGTGCTTGAAGATCTTTGTTCGAAATGATAACTTCCATCTGGAGATTATTCCGCGGAAGCGTTGGTCCGAGGAACAGGCTTAGTTCGAAACCTTGGGTTAGCTCAATTGCCGAGCCACTGTATTATACCCCAAGACTTACTAGCTATAGGGATGATCAACCACTCACGATCCCTCTACAGCTATGGCCCCAAATACCAGTAAGTCAGTTTGCCCCATTTGTGGTCAGTTATAACCCCATTGTGGTCACCATGCGGATAAGTGGTTTGTTCGGGCTTAGTCCCTGACAGGGACTTGAGGAATCATCCCATGTCGACCTTGCGTCACATTCTGGTGAAACCATAGGGGACCTTGCGCAGATGTGCATCCCACTACGTAAATGGCCACCGATGTGCAGAAATCGCATTTGATGAAGGGGATCACCCCCGGTCAGATATCCCATACGCTCCAGGGTAATTTTTTGTGGGTAAATGATGGCAAATGTTGCTAAACATTCCATGCATGAAACATATGGGTATGGGTTATATCAAAGCGTGCGCTAGCTGGGATGCATCACCTACAAGGTGGTGCCAGCTCCCGTGACACGTCGGTTTTCACAAAAAGCCCATCGATAATATGAATACTTCCCCCTTGTGAACCATAGTTACTGGAGTTATATATAGCCACCAACTTAGCTCTCATAAATCAAAGCTGAATCCCACGTCATCTCATGTTTCATTTTTTTTAATCCACCATGTTCCTATTGGTTTTCGTAAGTGAGGGGCACCCAGCACCCAACACTGGTTGGTGGTTTGGGACATTTTTTCCATTCGAAGTTGGGAATGTCATAATCCAACTCATATTTTTTCAGAGTGGTAGGTATACCACCAAGCAGATTATGATTATATAACCATCACTAACCATATAATAACTATGTTCCTAACTCTTAGTTGCGCCATGTTCCTATGGGTTTTCGTAAGTTCAGAGGCACCCAGCCAACATGTCGAGGTATGGCCTTAATCTTGGACCAGCTGGGCTTGAACGCTCGCAGCATCGAGGACATCATCGCGCTGGATGGCGTCTTCTGTGGCGTGACGGAACAGGGGGGTGAACAAAAAAAGGGCGTGTGGTGTGGTGAACGTTAGGTGTTTAATCACATGGTTGGTGGTTTTGTACATGAATTGTATTTTTCCATTCAGTTGGGAATGTCATCATCCCAACTGACTTTCATATTTTTCAGAGGTGTTGAAACCACAAACTTGCTAAAAATGGTGGCATACTTAGTATGGAAAACCATGTGGAAAATCGGTGTTTACCATTGACATAAAGTGGCATTTTTTTTCAGTGTTGAATGACTGGAAGCTTTTTTGTGTGGAACGGTCTTTGTGGTTTCGAACTTCTTCAGAAACAAACCCATTTGACCCAACCAGGATGCAGGGTTTTGTAGCAAGGCTTGATCTGTTGGGCTGCTAGGGCCATGTCACAGGTGAGACCGACACAAAATGCCATTGTTGATTGGTTGTACTAGGCCTAGGTCTTAAAAATCCATCCGTTAACACCATGAACCATCTATTAATTAACCAGCTATTAATATAATTTATTGGGGATGATTCAGGATCCATAGGCATAGTATTCCTAACCAATCAGTCAGGGATCCGCGCGCAGCGGTATTTTCCATGGCTCTGGCATGATGACAGGTTGGCTTGATGACAGGTTCCATTTTGTCGATCAATCCATGTCTGTTCGCCTACAATGTGAACCGGTGTTGTTTGGCATTGCCTGATAGTTCCACAGTTTTTCTGCATATTCTTTATGGTGAAACAGTGAAACAGATACCCTTGGTGGTGCTCTAGCTAGAAGTTTGTAAAGCCCATTGGGCCCATTCAGTGTGGCAATACATCTAGCATCAAGTCATTAAGCTTGGTAGACTGCTGTGCTTGGTTGCGCATTTGACGTACCTTTTCATACATGGTACCTGGTTAACGTGCACTGCACATACAGGTGTGATTCATGTAAACAATAGTTCACCTATTGACATATTATGTACTGTACATGTATATACATATATATATACTAGTATAAACCGTAGATACATATGTAAAGAGATTAGTTATAATTTGTAGTTTTTTTTCCCCTCATGTATGGTGTATATCTGCAGAGCCTTAGATGTCCAATTTCTGCCGAGGTGGCTATGATCCAAACACGGTGAAAAGCAAAAAGATCGGCCACTCGGCAGTACCTTCGTGTTGTTTGGGCGCAGTGATCTGTAGTTGCCCAACTGCAGCCTTAGGATTTAGGTATTTAGAGTACAGTTACGCAGTTAATATACCTGTAGTTGGGTAGTTTAAATTAGTTAGTTAATAGTTGGATTGTAGTTGGGTGGTTTAAATTAATGAATAGCTGTTGTTTTTAACCTTGTATGGATAGGACGGTAGTGAGAGAACCCCACGGATCAGGGACTTACATACTATTGGATATTAATCAGTGACTAAAGTGAGATGATCCTCCAAGTAGTTGTCCTGATCAACCAGGGGCTCAACAACCAAATGTTAACATTATGATACGCCAGTATGCCGCAATATGTTCACTTGCATTTTGGATGAGCAGTTGTGGTGTCGAACTAGGCAAGCCCTGTTGCTTACCCTGGGTATGTCTTTAGTAGTTGGTCAACCTCCGATTGTCAATGTTTATTCAGAAGTGTTGGGGTTATTTGGAGGTTTCCTAAATGATGGTATCCCTAGATCATCTATTTGAATAGGATTTTCCACTAGGAACCATCCATTTTGGGGATGCCTCATTTATGAAACCTCCATTTGGACATGTCTACTATTCATGTGATTGTGCGGACCTGAAGTGCCACTATGCTCAACAAAACACCGTGATTTCTTTGTGTCGTTGTGCCACTCTGGTTGAGGACGAACCCATATCCCAACGTTGCGTTGAGGGCTGCTGAAGGTCATGCAGTCATACAATTCATGAACATCTTGCCATTGGTGCCACCCTCCAGTCATCCCTAGTCATAAGTTGGTTTATAAACCCATCTAACTATGCACCATAGCTAGCAACACACCATAGTTAACAGTTAAGAAGCCAAGCCACAAACCAACTTTCCTATGCCGGCTTTTTTTCTGTGAGCGACTGGGCCTGGTGTGACACTTTGTGCAATGAGCGGCTTGATGGCGATACTCTTAGCTCTCGGATATCTTGGATTCACGTGGTGTACCAAATATGCTATCTAGAATCTAGGGGTCCCCTTCATGTAGGTATCACAAGTTCAAGGTGGTGCCGCCCCCAGTTATTAGAAGTTGATTTATATTCCCATTAACTATATATATCTGCCATAAGTCCTAGTTATTAGACTTATAATCCAACTTAGCTATCTTGGGGGCACCACCTTGTTTGACCCTTTGTGAACCGTGGAGGTGAACTGCGTATTGGTGTGCCGCAATATCCCTATGTGGAGGCACCGTTGCTGAGTTGCTGGGGTTGGGCACAAGACGACCGCCGCATTTACAGGTATACTGTTGGGTGCTGAATATGATCTTGCACCCTGGGCTTGTAAAGTTGGTACTTATTCTGAATTATTCCCAAACTGTTGACTATATTATAGTAAATTATAGTATTGTTTGGGTTTCGGGTTGAAACCGCCAGCCAGTATAGAGGAAGCTACTTTAATAGATATTAATATGACATCATGTCATTCGGACGGCGATGCGCCTTTGAGGACGGCGACGACGAACAGCCTTCAGAGCCTGCCACGGAGATGACAGGGGTGAAGCCGTTCCAGCTAGGCAGTGGGCAGCACCCTATTTCACCTGCGCAATGATGCTGATGGAGCAGGAACATTTCCAGAAACATGCCATTGCTCTCCCACGAGCACCAGAAATCTTTCGAGAGCGCTATGATACCCAGCGTGACTTCAGTTGGGCCATGTTTGGTCTCAACACTTTGCTCAGCTTCTACGAGAAAGGGGTGAAGAACAAGCAGACCATTTTTGAACATTTGCGCAGGTACTGGGGTGCGTAAGTGTACGAGTTCTTGTTGCATCAAAAACATAAATGAATTTGTGTTGGACATGATGATGAAGAATAACAATTGCATACAACATCATGATATGTTTGAAATCTGTGATTTTACTGCCAGCAAGTATGCCCACTTTGCTTCAGGTTTTACGTTCCCAAATTATGGGGTATCAAAATCCCCAGTAAATTAGGTAGTATAAGTTGTATAAGTCCCAACAAATTCACCCATCAAGCGAAGTATTTTGAATGGCTCATCTGTCTCTAAAATGGGAGGCACACCAACATGGTCATTCCATGGGGAAGGTGATGATTTACAATGAAATTATGTATTTTGAATGATTTTGATCCCTATATTTTCAGACAGTGCAAACACATGCGAAAGAACAAGTGGGTTTATTCTGCCACCCAACACAAGACCTAGAACTTCAGCCTGGCTGTCCGACACGACCTCAAAACATCGTTAATTGTCGAACTGCTGGCTCAGTTGACCTGCTATTTCTTGGGTATCGTTCAAGATTGCCTAAAAGATGGGTGAAAACATCTCGAGCGGCGAGAAGATCACGACCTGGAAGTCCCTAAAGTGGTTCGGTCGGGACTCGGGACACATTGGATGGGGTTACTTTACTCTCTGGTGAAACACAAAAAGCTATTGAAAATAGCCATTTATAGTTGCTTTATCCGTTTAAAATGGTGATATTCGATAGTTATGTTAGTTTACCAGAGGGTGATCATCTTTAATCCCTGGGTTTTGTTCTTGCTCATGTTACTATGTACAAACCGGCCAAGCAAATATAGATACCACCAAGCAACTATTTCTTTACCTCCATGTGCCCCCAGTTCTGCAAGTTGGCTTATAGAATCTTATAGGCCCCATGAAGTAAGTAGTTAACGATGCAGGCCCATATACATATATATATTTATATACATATAAACCATGGCATTCATCTAGTTACGCTCACCAAACTAGGAATCTTGGAAGTATCCTGGCCATGTTTGGTGGTACAACCGGTGATGTTTGTTCGAAGTGGAGGCCTACGTGCCAGCTGGCGGCGACAATCCCTTCAACTTCAGCGTGTATCCAAAAGCCTATATGCCATCCAGGCTCCTTGGGCAAGTTCCAGGAGTGTAGAGGCTCAGTTGCTGATTCTCATGGTTTCTACAGCATATATAGACACTCCGAAACATGGATTGTTTGTTTCCCAGGCGTCCTTTGCCAAACCAACTTATTACTGAGGACTCCCACACTTCACTAAGGTTTTTTTCGTGCTTTTCATCCCTTGGAATTGCCTCCATCGCACCCCTCCAGGCAGATCATGAAGAACCTTGCCGTGATTTGTTGGGGGGTTGGGGTCTAGGAGTCGCTCGTGGCTGGCTGGTTGATAAGCCCTCATGAACCTTGTCATTGGAGAGGTACGGTAGCTTCCCGTTTTGAAATCGGTTTCTGAATGGCCCGAAATGTGGTTAACATAACCAGCAAATGGAGTTAGAATGAGTTACAAATAGTTGCAGCTTGTAGGGGCACATCACAGTATCTGGCTTTCCTGCCAACGTTGTGTTACTTTTTTTGTTCACAAGGTGTTGAGGGTGTTGTGAGTTTCTTACATGATGATATTGGTTGAAATATGATCCACCCTTTCTTACGGCTAGTTCAATCCAAACCATCAGTCACAGCTGAGACATGGTTTGTTACCCCAAAAAGCCATTGACTGTGCTGGCACTATGACCTGCTTCCTGGCACCATGAGACGTACAGGCCGCATCCAAAGGCTCTTTGTATATGGTGCTTTTGTTGTCATATCCGACACATGTTCTTTGGACTCTATGGATATTGCTTTGTGATTTTATTTCAGCAGAAGAGGTCCGTGTGATCTCTAGTAGTGAAGAGATTGTATCAACAGATGGTTGATGATCTCTATAGTCCATATATAGTAAAAAAGGATCGATGGATCATACACATTTGCATAGAAAGAACATCCGAATGGAGCCCTCCATTTTTCGTTGGCAACTTGGAGACATCCCATGAAAAAATGTTGCAATGCTAATGCTTGTTTAATGTTGCAATTTAAATAAGACAGTTTGGATATATTATTAAAAATGATCTATATCTTGGGAAAACTCAACAATATCAAAGGTATTGAACAACCATTGGTTGTTCATTTTTACAATCACTACATATCACCATATATCAAGGCCTTGAAAAAAGTTTTGGGAATGACATGCACAAGACATTCAAACAAGGTGGTGTCACAGTTTTTGTTTGAGAAGTTGGTGAACATAAGTAGGTTAATTGTTGTGTTTGTGGGGGATTTATATGTAATGTAGCTTATTAACACCAACTTAACAATGGGTGACCTTGTATATACTGATAGCACTGATAGCAGTGAAGTTGCAACAGCCAATTCTGTGTAAGTTCTTATTATTGATCGCATTATTTACAATTACCCCTGACAAGTTCCGCCATAATCTGGGAAAGTTTCCTGGTACCCCCCTTACTAACACCATCATTTCTGGTTAGGGTGTGATGAAAACAATGCGTGATGAACAAAGGTGTGGTTTTATCACTAACTATTGGTTAACTATATTGCTTGTACAACTATTTTTCTTGGTGAACCTTGATATGTTCACAAAGCATGGCTTGCTGGAAAATCATCCATTTACGGTCCCAGCTGTAGACCTCCATTTCTATTGGATTTCCCACATTTTCCAATGTTTTCCCTATATTTTCCCTATGACCTAGAATTTCCCCTTGTTTCTTGGCTGATTTCCCCTGCAATGGTGCTAGGAAATACAAGGCCGCCAAGGCGGCCTTGCACGCCAGCGGGGCGGCCGTGGTGGAGAAAGAGTGGCCCATGGAGGGAGACACGATGCTCGTTGGCACCGCTGGTTGGAAATTCCGGAAAGCAATGGCCATGGATGTGGTTTTTTGCATTGTTTTTGCTGGGAAAATCCTGGGAAAAAAAGATGGAAACATATGGGAAAGTCACAAACTCAATGAAGGATTTATAGATGGGAGAATCAGCGAAGCTAAATGGAGGATTTTTTGGGCATGTTCGGTAGGGGGGGCACACTTGGAGGGTCCCCCCACTTTGAAATTGGTTTGTAAGCATAGTTACTGTATATTACTGTATTACTGTTAGTTTTAAACTACTGCAACGACATTTAAATATGTGGAGGGCGGGCCAGACCGCGAGGCCCCGGAGGTAGTATGAAATACCAGTTCGTATATTTAAATGTAGTTACCGTATGTTTAAATGGATTGGATTCCGTATGTTTAAATGGCCGGGCAGGCCAAGGAAAACCTTCCTGGAGGTAGTCTAAAATACCTGTTCGTATATTTAAAAGTCCGTATATTTAAATGTAGTTGCCGTATTTATATATGGGAGAAGCCACAAATCTTACAATAATCATGTGTCTAAACCAGTTGCTAAGCGGGATGATCTTCCAAGTACCTGCTACAGGCACGGGTCAAAACTTTTAAACCCAGGGGCAGTTTTGGTCCAATTTTGGTATCAGCGTGCTATCAGGCTAGTTAATTTTGACCACATGGATTTGAGTTTAACTGGAGTGCCCAAGCTGGGCCAAGAAACAAAGTCTGAATTGACTCTGGGGTGCAGTAGCGGATAGTCATTTTTGCCCCACTGGGTATCAAATTGTGTATCAGAATTATCAAATCCCCTAGAGAGAGTGTTGGGAAAATGGCGATTATATGCGATTTAATGGGATCTAATGGGAAATTATATATCTACAGTTAAAGCCCTCTATAATGGTTACAAATGGGGTCATTATTCCATAATTTGGGTTTAACGGACTTATAAGTGGCAAAGGGCCTTAAGTGTTATCACTGATGTCACAACTGCAATGCGATTGCCAAAGACAAACAATTGCTCATTCTGTGGCTCCAGAAACAGGTATCCCATGTTTGAATTATGCCCATTTATATTCAGTAGGGGCCAATGGCCAATGACTTTGCCAGATTTGGGGTTCGGAAACCACTTCAGCAACCTGCCACTGCCGCTGAGGAACATCTTGGCGAAGGCGTTCTTTCTCATGAAGATGGGAGATGAAGTAACTTTGTACAGAAAGGACCCCGGGTCAATGGAGAAATTGAAAAAACAGTTTAGGGCTTAGGGCGAACCATATCCATATTGTTGGTGAGAATATCCCACCAACATTTTTCTATATTCAATGGATTGGTTTGAGGGAAAAATCATATAGGACACCCTCCTCATATTTATTGGAAAAATCCATATATTCGCAATGATGGTACTTGGTACTTGGTATTTGCCGTTTGGACAAAGCAATGGCATAGTTTTTGCTGTCTAGCTTCTTTTACTACCTTAAGCCTTAAGCCCTGTGGTGGATTTGTTTTTTCCTAGATGTGTCATCGGGATTTATATATGAATCGTGAACATGAATTGATATATAGTTATAGGGATGGATATATATGTCATCGGGATTTATATATCAGGATTGTTTGTTGTTCAAAATAAAATTTCATACTCGGGGTAGAATTGTGGACATATGTCGTATGATGTCGTTTTGATTTCATGGAGTATACTATCCAATATACCCTCTTTCCTAAACATACAAAAAACTATGGAAAGATCCACCATTTTTCATGGATAAAACAGCTATACATGGGCCATTTTCAATAGCAAACTGTTAGTTTACTGGAGGGTATTGCTAGGTACAACTCAGCGGGAAATTTCAACCTGCAGGGCACCAGGCTGACCACGATTTCCAGGAGAATGACCAGAGTGGTCATTCTCACTCTTCAAGCAGCATTTGCCCTCTGGTAAACATACAAAAAGCTATTGAAACAAAAAGCTATTGAAAATTGCCATTTATACTGGATTTACCCAATAAAAATGGTGATTTTCCATAGTTATGTTAGTTTACCAGAGGGTAATTACCAACATTTACATACATTTACCATAAAATGTTGGCTTGCATTTCTATCCTAATCCCAGTTGCAGGCGTTTATCATCCACATATCGTACACATACCATTTCTGAACTTTAGGGAGTATCGCAAAAAAGGTGCTGCCCCATAGACTAGTTCGATATATTTCCCATAAACTCTTAGTGACATGTGTCGGTGACATAAGCCAACTTAGCCAACATAAATCACCAATAATAAGTATCAACCAAGCACCAATAAATCACCAATACGTCACTGAATACATCATCAATAAAGCACAAATAAATCACCAGTGTTGTTGGTTAAGACTCATGTTTATGGGTTTTCATACCAATCTTCTAACCGCTGAGGTCGTCAGCCCCTATTGGCACGTCTTCCATACCTACATGGGCCAGGCTGGGACAAATCCGCCGGTGACCTTGATTAAAGGCATTGAAACGTGATGTTTAACCATCACAGTAGGAGAATAATATTGAATATGGGATAATTATTTACATAGTTGATATAGGGACATAGGGATACATACAGTATAATCCAGTTGAATATGATACTAATATGATACTCAAAATATTGGACATGAATTACATTGAATACCATTGATACAGTTGATATAGCACAGTAGTTATTTGGGCAATGGGGCAAACCCAAATATCATAGTGTTGTTTAACCCTGATTACGTGTAAGTATACATAGCGATAATCATATCTAATTCATATCCCCAACACATACCAAATTGATCACTTTTACCCCCATTAAATGCATGATAGTGAAAATCCCATGTTTTTTCTCCGTTAAGTTATTTTCCATCATATACCATCATATCATGCCCTTTCACCCCATTGGAACCATGCTTTTTTCAGAAAGGCACGCTGTCAGGTCCCATGTTTCCACGTTCTTAGGAATGCAGTGTTTCTGCTACATCATGCTTGATCATTTGTGTTAATATACATTTAATTAGATAATGCTACTTTATGTCATGAAAGGATCGCGATGAAGAACCTTGAGCACATTGGGAACCACTTTAAAGGTATTGCTAGAGATCCCCAAATATTGCTAGATTTCCACAGAGGTTGCCAGAGATTTCCAGAGAGCCTTCAAGATCCCCAGGGAAAAGGAAGGAAGGAGACAAAAACAAATATATATATATATATACATATTGTGCTTTCCTCAGGCGAGAGAGGGTCCGAGCTTTTTTTTTTTTTGACCCCCCCCCCCTACTAGTCCTCCTACATAAAACCGGCCGGCTACGGAAAGCGAACGTGAACAATCGGATTATGAAAGTCTATGGACGGAACGTGAAATGAAGGAACAGACTACTAAGTATAAGAACGGAGTACGAAAGGAAGAAACGGGATTTGAAAGAAAAGAATAACGTACAAAATTCTTTTGAAGTTAGAGAAGACGATGGCATATTGACAGAACTTTGCAAAATTTATATAGTAAGCAAGTGGCAAGTAGCACAACGGCATGACGTAGCCTGAGAAGCTGCGTGACATAGCATGAGCAGCTGCAAAAAAAACATAAATGGTAAGAACATTGATTTAAGGTTCAAATATATAACACAATGGGAAATAGCAACACACAGCATGCTTAATGTGGAGATGTTGTGTGTTGTTCCATTTTTTGAGCAAGTAATAGATTTGCTTTCTATTGTTTGATCTGGTGCATGAAAAAAACATGTAATGTTTGAGCTTAGTGAGGAAATAGTTTCAGATATGATAGTATATAACAATCTTGCTACAAGCATACAATATGTCTATATAGACATGGATGTTGCATATGGAATAGGCATATGCTGAATCAACACACCCAAGGTGCATATGTGTTCCGAATGCCACTGTAGCCATATTATGTATATACATATATGTATATATACACACATTGATGGACTTGCATTTGCCTTCTTAGTACTACTGTATGCATCTATGATATGGATGGTACCTAAGTAGCGCATGCCAATACGTATACACATTTTCCACATATACTTTGCATATCTAATGGAATTCTGTCAGGATTGAATACAATAAAGACTCTTTGGCTGCAACTAACTTTGATCACAAAAGTTGGCAAATGGCAAGGGCCACTCCAACTTACCGTTTCTCCAAAAATATATGTTTTTCCTGCATATTTCACAGTAATTTGCTATGCCACTGCACATCCAATGCAGGTACCCTATAACCATAATTGTTTGGCTGTGCTTTTATGACATGATGAGTAACGCCCAAAAAAGTTAAGACTGGTTCGAAAACTTGACAGAATCAGCTATGACACAACACATTGGACTAGAAAGTAGCAGCTCCCAGAATGCTATCATATGGAAAGGGGTCCCTTCTCCATCCTTTTGATCAATACTCACTCCTGTTCTTACTTCTTTGATCTATATACTGTATGAACAGTTTCGTGTGTTGTTTGTGCTTTAGTGGGTGAATAGTTTCAACCAGTATGCAAGCCCGTTGCCACAAGTGTGCAGTATCTATACAGCAGAAATGGCAGCTTCAAACATGCACTGGTATCTAAAGGGTTCCTTGTGATATAAGCAATATATTTTTTTGGCAGATGCCATAGGCATATGCTGTGTCAACACATCCAAGCTGCATATGCACTTAGAATGCAACTATTTTCTATATACAAACAAGTGTTTCCTATATAGTACATACAGTTATGGAATGGGTGGCATATAAGGGGCGGGGGTTCACTTTGGGCGTAAATTTTGGCCCCCTCGCCCTTTTAAGTCACCTATGCCCTTACAGACACAGTTTTTGTACATTTGTTTCTTCATATGCAATGGTATTCTTCCAGGTTTTAAGTAGCAGCTCTTTGCTTAACATATTTGTTGATCACAAGAGTTGGCCAATTCCAAGGGCACTTCCATTTCCCCCTTGCTTCAGAAAAAGTGTTCTTTTTTCTTGCATATTCCATGGTAATTCGCTGTGTCACTTAACGGCAGACATTCTACTACCATAAATATACGCATGACTGCGGGTAAAACTTAATCGATGTCAGTATAAGTTCATCATGGTAACCAGAAGGGCACGAAACCAAGTGAAAGAAACACTTAAGCAACCTTACCAAACAATTGTATCTATAGAATGGCTGCCTTGCTTGTGCATTGATGCAGCAAGTTACCACGAAGTATGCAAAAAATATTGCAATTACTTGAGCAGGGACAGTAAATTGGAATTTGCACTTCCATTTGCTATAAGAGTTCCACTGGAACTGTCCTGTCAACCAAAAGGCGACCTGGCAGTCCAATCTCAAAGACCACCACTGCAAATACTATTATATATATATATATATACATACCACCTTTGCAATAGCTGTATAACAAGGTAGTACCTATACATCAATATATATATATATATAATTATACATGAAGTGCCAACTGGCACAATGAATATTTTTGTTTTTGTTTCAAGACGTTATTGGGCAAAGAACTTTGGCATTCATATACTAAGACCACCTATAATGGAGATACAAAAAAGCAATCAGCCAAGAATACAGCTAAGGATTAACACGCCAAAAACACTACATTACCCAAGACCTTTGATCTTTCATATGATCAAAGATGTAGAAAAAACGCAACATATTCAAACAAAAACTAAAAACCACGTATTTTTTAAATGTATTTTTGGGGACCTGGTGGCGCTACACTCTCTTTTTTTGCCATATTGTTTGGATGAAGTCCCTATATATATATCAAATATACTAAATACGCCTTTCTAGTACATGGTCATATTGGTTTATTGATATATGTACCACTCCTCATCATATCCCCATGACTTCCCAGGTCTCCCAGTGGATCAACGACTACTTGGGCGCGCCCGGCATCACCATCTCCGATGTGGTTGCGGCCGCGCAGCCCGCGGGCATCGGGCACGATCCAGCCAAGCGCCTCGGTTCGTCATCGGGGATGGCAATTGGGGATAGTAATACAAGCATACAAAGTTATACCCCTTGCTACAACTGGCCTATAAACCCATTTAGTTAATTGATATATATATATATACTATTATCGATGGAGTTGCACAGGAGTGGAGATTTAACCCAACAAAGATCGAGATAGTAATCGTGGGTTTATAGACTTTATAGAACTTGAATGACCAGGATTTCTTTTGAAGATATGTCGACATGTCGCGAAGTCTTTCAGATTGCGGAACCAAAACACATTGTACCAGATGGTAAATTAACATCCTGAAAATCAATGAAAATCACCCATGTTTAATGCAAACTAGCCTTCCAATCTTCCAAGCCCTATCTGCCGGGGTCTATGTTAATATACCGGGTAGCTGTGACGCCGCCAGGATCATGCAAGCGAACACCAGTGAGGAGAAGTTGGCCTTTGTCATCCAGGATGGCCGAACCTTTTGGAACCACGGAGGGAGGTGCCCCAGAAAGGAACTACGGTGGCACGTATATTATATATATATTGACATATATATATATATATATATATATCTAATTTATTTATATATATTAGTTTATATATACGTGTATGTGATTCTGATAATTTATGTAGAGAACTTACTTCAGGTAAGAAAACAAAGAAACATCACCCAAGAGAGAGGGTACCCCCAAATCTGCATTCTGGGTCCCGCGCATTTGTACCATCGGCCCACCTTCACTTTTTTATGTATTTCCTCCATGATTTGAATCCGTGTTCAAGACATATCAAGACATGGCTAAAAGAAATGCTGGATACTCGTCAATCTGAGTCTGGAGGGAACCGATGAAATATTCTGAGTAGACTGCCTGGCGGCCTGGCGGAGGGTTTCTGAATGGATTGATTTTTAGCCATGTTGAGGGAGGATGCTTTGATATCCCACAGCTGTTCTTCGATCCCGCCAGGAGTTGCGTCAGGCTGGGGTAGCAGCATGGAATCGTCTTTTTGATGAAGAGAAGCTGGATTTGATTCTCATTCCAGGTTTTTTGTGCCTTGGTTTGATTCACTTAGGAACTTCGCTGGAAACTGGGAAGCTACCAAGATTTAGCTGAAGATGAGGATGGATACTGTCTTGATTGATTTTGATAGCTTGGTTTGATAGCGCGTTAATGCAAAAAGCAATGCAAATCGGCCGAAGGCAACTCTGACTAGCCCTGGGTCAAGCTTGCGTACTCCAAAGATGATCTAATGCTAAGAACTAACCAAACATATAATATAGTTGTTCTAGCTTTTCGGAGGTCGTACATGTTGAGTCAAAAAGTACCCATATTATCCCCGATGTGCATTTAAGCGACATTTGCAATGAAATTTAATTGGGTATGCTTGGGTAATCTCTGTATATGAAAATCAGGTACACTTCAATGGTCTATCACCATTTTCCCTTCCGCAGCCACCAACTGGGGTTTGTCTGGAAAAATCCTCTGACTTTTTGGACCGCAGTGGAAAAATCCTCTGTGAATTCAACATATGGCCGGGAAATCTCTCAAAATTGGCATGTAGAAGGGCTGGGAAAGTCATCAAAGTGATGATTGGTGAAATTTCTGTTGCCATGTTTGATTAGCACAGGGTACGAAAAATCATGATGGGACAAAAATTGATCTGATCACTGTGGTGCAATGCATTGAATGAGTTTACACAGATCACGTTTGAACTGTCGCTGGTTTCCCAGACAACAATAGGAGATCACCATTCTTCAATAGAGCCTCTATTCTATGATAAAGGGGTATCACTTCTTCTCCTCAATGTTCCCCGGTGCTGAATTAATCTACAGGGGTCCCGAAAATATGGAAAAGCCATGCTCTTCTACAATGTGGGCCCCCAGTGATGTTTGTTGGTTTATAAACCCTGTTAGCCGTTAACTAGTTATACGTCATAAGTTGTAAGATGTTTCAAATATCATAAACTATAGTGAAATTGGAGTTATTTGCACCAACTTAGCTATCATAAGCAGAGGGCCCAGCTTGACATTGCGACGGTGTTTGAGGCACACTGCGACCTTCGAATGCATGGCCAGTTCCACGTGTGAACATCAAGTGAAGCCTCTTGGACGAATGTTGGTAAAGCGAAATAATAAACCATCCCCAAAATCACCATAAACTGGTGATGGTAGGTTCACTTTTGGGTTTACTACATTACTTTTTGTTGTGAATCATGGAATACTCCCTTCTCCCCACTCCAGAAGGCTGATGAAATGTACCGGAGCTGTTCATTTGTTGATCCCAGACAGGTGGGTTTAATATTTTTGGATGGGCACCAAAAATATCAAGTACATCGTCTGGGGGATGGTCATCAATGTTTCCTGCTTTATCAAAAAAAACGTATTTTCATGTTAGTGCTAGAGTTCATTGTGACTACCCTCCGGTAATCTAACGTGGAGGGCTCCTGGGAAATCTCCGATCAAAAATGATCACCTTCGAGCATTTCTAGCTTAACATCGAAACTAAATATTGTTTTTCCAGCAAGCCACGTTTGATTGCCAGAAGGTATGTATCCCAAAATCATCCCATTATCATTTAATTCGATTAACTAAAGATACTATAGACATATCTACCATGAATCCATGAATACCCCTATAAACAGCCATTGGTTTTATATTCCAGTATTATTCTATCATTATCCCCAATATATTCCAATATTACTCCATTATTATCTAATTATCCAGTAATTCTCCAACAAATTATCTCATTATGAATCCATGTAATTATGGTTATATATATCACCGTCTACCACTAATTACGGAGATATCTATAATATACCATGAATCTATAGGAATCTATGAATATATATATATTTATATATCTGTATATCCATAGGATATTTAGATATAACTACAATGAATATCCCACATTCTTTCGGCAGCTAGGAATCTGATCACTGGGGAAGTGACCACTGAAGCCAAGTTTGCCTCGTTGGACAATCTCTTCATGCCCGGCCTTCAGAAACACGCTGGACCGGTGTGAGCCAATCTATGGATTTTACATGAAAATCGGACCCCCCAAGAAAACTCATTACCTATAGATAGATAGATGGAAAGATGGATAGATAGATAGATAGATGGATAAATAAGATAGATAAGATAAATAAGATATGTATATATATATAGATAGACAGACAGATAGACAGACAGACAGACAGATAGATAGATAGATATAGACAGATATATATATATATATAGATATAGACAGATATATATATATATAGATAGGGATAGATAGATAGATGGATGGATAGATAGATAGATAGATAAGTATTTAGATAGATAGAGGTAGATAGATAGATAGATAGATAGATAGGTAGATAGATAGATAGATAGATGGCTATACTAGGTGCTATCTAGGGGGCACCACCTTGTACATACTGTTGAGTACAAAGGTGGGCACTGTACATCCTCTGATGTGCGGAATCCCAACAGCACAGAGGATCTTCGACCAAGATCGTCCACTTCAGGGCACGTCCAGTCTGTATCTATTGTGTTTTTAATTTGCTGTCCATATGATACTGCATATAAACACGTACAGACAGGTTTTAGTGTTTGACATGCGACACGTCCGTCCAAGTACAAGTCATACCATTCAATATATATATATACATCTGCATATGAAATTTTAATATATTGGTATTATATAAAATATGTTATATTATTTATATTATATCATTTATTTTATATTTTGTTTATATTTCTATTATTATCATTATTATTCTTCTTATATATATATAGGTACACACATGCGTTTTTAGTAGGCAATTCATGTTCAAAGACAGTGCTGGGGTGCCAAAATGTGAACATCAGCGCCTCATGCGTGGCCGTGCCAGGCATAGCTTTTCAATGAAGCACATGCCGTTGCCGAAGATGCCACCTGGCTGAGCAGTGAACAAGGTTATACCCTCTGGTAATTTGTTGCATAAGAAATATTTTGGAAATATGATGGACATAGTACAGATACATTATGTAAATATGATGGAAATACTGTAGATGGTTGCGAAATCCTGCACCAATTGGTAACTAATGGCAACTATGAAACACTGTAAATAGTGGGATTACAATGGGATAAACCATCTATCAACTGGTACAGGATTTCTTCCATCCAGAGTAACTATGGGAAATTACCATTTTCGATAGCCAGCCGGTAGTTTACCAGAGGGTATTTGGATCCATGTTTTGGAGAATCTTAAACAACTTGGTGAACACATAATGTTCATAAACACTGAATAGAAACACGCGATTGAAAACATGAATTTAAGGGGTTGAACATGGATCATGATTCATGATATTGATAATTCATATTGGGGTATTTGGCCCTGTTGCGCCCTGGGGGAGGCTTCAAAGCCGTGCTGCTGGATATATCCCTTGTCATTTGCAACCTTGCAGCCCCACATTGGCATGATGATTTCCATTGCAGCCACACGATAATCCTGATTTGAAGAACATTTTTTTCAGTGGGAATATTGATTATTGTATTGATTATTGTAGTACTATGTTATTGTAATACTAGTATTAAAATCAATACAATTTCAACTGCCATGGATTCTTTGGGCATCCAAATCCTTTGGGCATCCTTTGGGCATCAAAACCTCATGGCTTTCCCCAGTTCCAGAATGATTGGGTTCCAATCACACTTGGAATTGGGTAGTATTGATTATTGCATTGAATAGTGGTAAACTGATTCTAGTACTGATTATATAGTATTGATCCTAAAACACTTTAAGGACCCTTTTATCATGTCCTTTTTTTTCTAGCCTTGGGACCGCCCTGGTTCAGGATGGTCCCTGTGGGTCTTGATGATGAGGGAAAGGGAAACCCCGTGGGCTTGCAGTTCTTGGGCCGTGCTGGACCTCCCAAATCCCAGGGCTTGGGGTCTCTTGGCGCCGTGGAAAGTGTGGAAAGTGGGGCATGTGCATGTCAAGTCATTGGGAAATGGACATGTCATTGGGATGGTTACATGAAGATGTCCAAGAGACCACCATGGAAATGGACATGTCATTGAAAATGACATGTTGTCTTGGGATTTGAGGTTGTTCAACTTGTTTTTTAGTTTTTATATGAGCACCAGAGGTGGGAAACAAACATCATTAAATGTTTTCAACGTCTGTATGTTTTAGATATTAATTAGGAAAACATGCTAGATGTGGGAAAATGATTAGATTTTGTTTTCCATCGTTTTGCACGACGGGTTTTCTGTATGTTTTCCATTTCATCAAGCCTAGCTCTCACAACAATTGATCGTCGAGATATTTCATGAAAATTCACGTCTAAATTGATAACCTGACTAAACATTGTTGAATCCAAAAGATTATACATACATAATGTACATATGCATACACACATATATATATAGACAATATATACATACATGCAAACATATACATATATAAACAGTGTATATATATATATATACATACATACATATATATATATATATACTGTGATTGGTTAGCGGTTCTAACTGCCTCAGTCAAAGGTGAATGCCCCTCCACCAACTGGATGCTGCGGACACGCAGCCTTTTGGATCTCGATGCACCACGTAGCAAGTCCTCTTGCTGTACTAAGGCTGAACGCAGCCAGGCCAGAAAACGTATGGCTCCAAGGCGTTTATCCCACCCACCTCACGTCCTTGCAAAAGGGCTATTTGAGCCCACGGCCTGCAACACCCTGCAGTGTGGTTTCGGTGAACCCTGGCTGGAAACAAGGAGGAAGTGTCATGTATGAACATAGATGGAAATGAGCTGCTTTCACATTCCCAAAACTTGAAAATTTTAAGACCTTTCAGCTCATTTCATGCGTGGTGGATCTTAACCATTTCAACCGATTTCTCTCTGTTGCACGATCCTTGAGCACTGCATTGATGTCATGAAGACAGTATGATCCAATTCGGAGTGTTTCGCGCAAAAAATTAGCAGTCATGATCTTTGTAAGGGCATCTGCTAATTGTGCACCAGAATGGACCCAATGGAGTGAAATACCTTCTTTCAGTATGTCTTTGATGGCTCGTGCTTGGAGTTGTGTTCTGAATTCAGAACAATTTGGAACTGCAGTCCGTGTCGTCAAGTCGTATAAGCTCTTGCAGTCTGTGATTGCCAAATCCTTTTCATCGATTCTGATGGTTGGTACCGTGATTGCTTGTGGTAAACCATTGACTTCGCTTGGATTCTGCCACTTCAGAGTTTGATCGAAAAACCATGCCCAGTATAATCTCATCCACGTTAATTGATCCAAAGTTGAGGATAACGCTGAAGTTTCCGCTGAGAGGGTGCTGGTGACCACCCTTTGAATCTTTTTTGGTTCCCCACGATAAAGGACTCACCTGACAAGTCTGGTTGTTGGTGATATCCTTATGAGTTGCCATGATTATCATACCAGCGTGTGATTCAGGTTTAGCTTTGGATGCAAACGACGCATCTGAGAAAGCTAGGAATCGCAAGTCTTTGGGATTGATTGGCTGTATTTTGATGGTTACTTCATGATGTTTCTTGGCAATGTGTAATGTTTTGTTGGCTGCTATTAATGTTGACACTGTTGCTGAGTTGACTTGGGACTGTAGTTGACTCAAAGAACTGGATAGGTCGGGTCTGGTATGTACTGCTGCATATTGTAGGGATCCAATCAGACCACGTAGCTGATGTCGTTCGGGCTCCGACACCGTGGCATTTTCATCAGCTCTTCGTTCGGTGGTTAAAGTTATTGGATTGATATTTCGAATGCATTTTGATTGAGAAAGTTCAATGGAATTGTCTGGATATTGTTGAAGTTCGATTCCCGTGAAGGTGAAGTTTCTTGACTTTTTGGCTCCGAACGGATACTTGGCTTCCAACTTGCTGATTTGTTGATGAAAATACTGATCTCCCCCATGAATGCCATCATCGACATGGATTCCCAGGACCCCTGACAAACGCTGACTCTTGGGCTCTCGCAGCAAAAACACGCATGGATCAAACGGAGATGGAATGAACCCCAGATTTGTAAGTTCTTCTTGTAAAGTACGAAACCAAAGATAAGGAGCATCTATGAGGCCATATGCCGACTTATCTAGTTTGCAGACTTCATCTGGTTTCAGTTGCATGGCTTTACTGAGTTCAGCCACTGGTTCAATTCCAATCACTCTGTCTTGTTGCGGTTTGCCCTGCAAGAAAGCGGCACGAATGTCAAACGATCCGAGACTCCAGCCTTGGGATGCTATGAGCTGTAGCAGGAGCATCTTTGATTGGCGTCCCAATGTTGGACTGTCTCTGGGCACTTCGGTGATTTTCGGGTCCAAATAACCCAATACCACAAGTCGGGCCTTAGGCTTGTGAGTGGTTAATTTGGAAACATGAGTATCCTTTTCATTTACTCCTTCTAGTGGTTTCCATACTAAAATCCAGCGACATCTTAGGATTTGTTCTGGGGCCAACTTATTGCGTAAAATTTTGGATACTGTTCCTGTTTTTATCCAATTTTGGATTTCTGTCTCTTTGGCTTCTCTGAAGGCCTTTTGCTCCTCTGGACTTAGCAGAGACAGTTTCACCTCAGTTCGTTGTTTCTTTTCGGTGGTCGCCATCAGGATGTCCTCAGCTGCCCAGCTCTGTACATGCTGCTTTTGCAGACGACCCGGAAGTTCTAGTTCACAGCGCCATGCACATGGAGTGTCTGTTGGATCAACATACATCACATCGTCTTCACAGCACAGTAGGTGGGTGGTGATTAAACTGTCCTCATCATCATTGGTGTCAGGAATTGGAGTGTGAATTGCGGGGTCATTCATTCCCTCCATGGTTGTGGATCCTGGTGGTGTCATGATTTCTGGTTCGACATCTGGTTGTTCTTGTGATTGGCTGGCATTTTCTGATGGTTCTTGATTGGTGGAAATGTTCGGATTATTGTTATTGGGATTATTTATTTCCGGGTGATCATGGGGAATTTCTTCTTGAAGTGGTGTTTCATGTGGATTTGAACTGGCTGTGGGCAATGGCATCTCGGCTGTTTCTTCTTCGGCAGGCAGCTGGTGAGCTTCTTGAGAGCATACGGGTCTGATGTGTTCCAATGCCCTGCGAAAGAGTTTTCCTCCATGGGTTGCCCAAATGGAATAGTCCCCTTCTTGGGTTATCACCTTTAAAGGTCCAAACCAATGGCCACCTTGTTGGGTTGGTTGCCACATCATAATCCATTCACCAGCCTGATATGCATTTCTGGAAGGACGGGATCTGCGCAAGCTGGCCCTTCTCAAAGCAAAATCATTGTCTGCCTGGTGGAAAGCTACTCTGGCCCTTTCTCTTAAGGCCAGGCTTTTCCGGAACTCAATTCCAAGCCCGTCATCTCGATCTGCGCTTGCCAGGGATGATTCTCCAGTTGAGCTGCTCAAAGAACCTGGAATTCGTGAGCTTTTTCCAAAGACCAAGATTTCCGGCGAAAAACCCCTACGTATGCTTAACGTATTTTTGGCATGAGTACTCTGGGCTAGCGCTTGTTGGAGGTCTTCATAGGTCTCTATCGGTGAGTCTTTATCCAGTTTATTGAGCATGTTCTGAAGAATATCACCGTGCCGTTCACATCTACCATTCTGCCAGTGGGCGTGTGGAGCTATGGTCGTGGGCTTGATATCATTACGCTGCTGAAATTGAGTGAAGGTCTCACTAACAAATTCCGTGGCTGAGTCGGTGACCATAGTGTTTGGTGGACCTGCCCACTGCATCCATGACTCCAGTACGCATCGCACGGCATTCTCGGCTGATCGGCTGGGCGCAGGTGCGGCGACATGAAAGTTGGTAGCCTGATCTATGATATGATAGAAATGGAAGGTCTTATTGGATTTATTGGTCCAAGTTATCCCATCCAGAAATACCTTATCGTTGAAGTCAAGCTCATGTTTGATGGTGCTCGGTCGAGCTATCTTGGGCTTTTGCAGGGAGGCACAGGTTGAGCATTTCATGTCGAACACCGCTTGGTGAATCTCGGTTCTCACCTTTTGCATGCGAAGCACTGCACTGAATTGCTCTGGGCTTGGATGGCATAGATTCTTGTGTGCTCTCTTAAGCATGGCTTGTTCTTCACGTGATAGTGCCAAGAATCTGGGACCATGTGCCTCATCGCCATGTGATTCCTTTGAATCATGGTCATTTGGGATATCAGTTTTGAGACTGTCACCTTCAGACACCTCAGGGATTTCGTCAGTTCTTTCTTCCAAAGTCTGGCTCTCCTTTGGAAGGCTTTTGGAATCACTATCATCTATCCGAGATGGTGAAAGCTCAGCACTAGGAGGTGACGGATCTTGCTTCTCGGGTGCATTCGGAAGATCGGCTGCAAACACCGTTATATTGACCCGGCACGGATGCGACTTCCGAATTGTCTGACGATTGGAGAGGATGTCATACCTTTCCCATTCTGAATCCATGATTATTTTCCCATTACTCCTGAGCTTCATTATTGATCTTCGATATGGAGCTTCCCGGCTATTGAGATCTTGTGGAGGGCCCATTGTTCTCTCAGTTCCTTTGCACGCTACGATTCTTTTGATTTCCTTTGAGGAAAAAAGAAATTGCAGCATTTGTTGAAATTTTGGTTGATCGATGATTTTCTTACCAACACGTGGAAGAATGGGTTCAATTTGTGACATGATGAGTTCAATGGCCTTTTGTTCATCTTCGTTGGGATGGTCATGTGATGTGGAAAGTGGTTCATTGGTTTTGGCTCTCTTGATGTTCTTTCTCGCATCAGGGTCTCGGTCTGCAGCTTTGGTCTTGCTTGACCGGGAACTGGCCGCACGAAAACGCTTGGCTGGACGGTCGCTCAAAGCACATATGGCATCAAACAAAGCTAATGCAGGATCGGCAATCATTCCGATTGGTTTCTCCTTGGGAAAGCTTTTCTTCAGCATGATTTTGGCCACTCTTCGTGCGAACCGTCGTGGGTAAACTTCACTGAAAACAGAGCGGGCTACTGACTGTCCATCTGCATGGGTTCGTCCCTCGATCGGCTGGTGAGCATGGTCTCCAGGGCATTTCAACGGATCCAGCTCATCGAACATTCTTTGGGATGACGTGGTGATATTAAGTCCCTTCCTCATGTGTTGATGACTTTCGGGGTCTCTCAGATCACCTGCCTGGCACAAATCTGGTTTGGCTGGCTTCATATATTGATATATTTCTTGTAGGTATGGTAGTGTCATCATGGCCGACCCTTTGGGCTGTTCCCAATGCATGTGTCGGTGGTGCCGTACTTGGTGTCTGCTGAGCACAAAACACAAGGCTACCTGAACCAGCATGTCTTGGCGTTCAGTGTGTATTCTGTCCCATGATTCTAACGACCGTTGGCTGTTGAAATGAGACCATCTTGACCAAGGTTTGCACACTGGACTTACCCAAACATGTTCTGGTCGGAAACGGCACAGCAACTTGAACAGGCTCACTCGCCCTTCACGTGTGTGAAGATCTCCTTGGTCAATTCCAAATCTCATGGCTCTTCCCCCAAGCATGTTCACCTGGTGTGTCAAATCGCTTTCCCTACTGCAAAACACCTCAAGCAGGTCTATGTGATACCCGGCATGTGCAGTTTGTTGAGCAACTGATTCCAACTCGTATTCTATGGTTCGGACCCATTTCCAAAACAGTGCTCTTTCTTGGTTAGGGATAGATTCACAAAATGAGTCTATTTCCCCCACGGCCATTGCCAAGTCACATCCTGACATGTCAGATTTCACTGATTCCAGGGATCGTTCCACTCTTCCTCGATCGGCATGGTTGGGAAGATCTCCGATGTTGGATTGGCCATCGTCGGAGCAGGCGCTAGATGGGCCAGGATCTGGTGCAAGGCGTTCTCCATGAGACCCATGCGCTCCTGCAAGCTTGAGATCTGTGCATTCTCGGAGGGGATCCACGGTTCTTCTGTCTGTGGTTCCATTCCCTCGGAAGACATCATGGGACTGGGCTGAGCCTTGGCCTTTGGACGCAAGGGCATGGTCTTGGGTGCTGCATGGCTTTTCGGCAGCACAGGGCTTTGACGTCCCGGCGTGGGGTTTTCCTCCATGGCTTCGATCTTGAGCTTGATGTACCGAATCATCTTTCGGTGTGCAAGCTTTGTGCTCTTCTGGTAGTGCTGCAGGAACCACTGTGTCCATTCTGGACTGGAATTCCACACATCTTCGTATGTTCGGCCCAGGTGAGCCTTTCCGAAGGTCATGACCTCCATCTGGAGATCCTCGATGGATAAATGGTCGATCTCCTCGGGAGTCTCCAGCGGCAGCGATGCTTGCACTTTGGCCAATCTCTGGGTCCAGTCGCTCATGTTGGCAGCTTGGAGAAATCGGCTTGGGAACGATCGGAATGTTTGGACACTGACACGAGGCTTCGGTGTTGGTGGCTATGTGATTGGCGTGAAAACTTTTGGTCTGAAAACTGTCCACTGTGTCTTTTCCTTGGTGTGTGACTCTGTTATCATGTGATGTTGGTGTGTTATGATGGAAACTTTCATGTGGATTCTCATGTATCTGTGCATGTTCGGATTCAAACTCATTGGTGTGACCTGAAGGTCTTTCAGGTGCTGACGGTACCTCTTGGGTTTTTTCACTCTGAGCTTCCGATTCTTGTGCAAACGTCTCGGCAAAACTTGACCAACGTTGGACTTGACTCCCGGCTTTGATGAGCTGATTCATGTCTACCAGATAAAGACCCTTTGGAGACAGCTTCAATGGGACTGTGATCTGATGTTTTGGAAACTTCAGCAAGTTGTCACCGGTGTCAATGCTAGCGCCTAGTGCTCGCAGCAACGTATTGGACAGGAGGAACGGTGTTGTTCCTGGTACTATGGCAATTTTCAAACCGAGACCAAACAAAGGAATCATGATAGCATGTTCAGATTTCAACGTACCCTGGTTACCAAACCGAAAGACAACATCGCATTTGCATCTTTTGACTTGATCTTTGACAGTTGGGTCCAAGCTTTTCAACAACTCAGCAACATGTGAACTACCTATGACCGTTTTCGTGGCACCTGTGTCTATAATGCCCCATGTGTCATGAGTGGAAAACATGGCCTCGGCTGTGCAACTGCTTGGAGAAATCTCGGATGCAAACTGTACACTTGGATTTGTTTGCCAGACATCTGTTGTGCTGGGCTTTGGAAATCGGTTGTTTCCTCGGAACGCATTGGACTCTGTGGTTGGCTTTGTCGGATCCGTCTCACTTCGGCGCATTCTGGACTCAATCCTGCTTACCAGGGAGGCGACTCTAGAATTATTCTCTCTATTACCCTTAATATAGGTCCTAATCCTATCCCTTACCCCCATTAAGGTTGCAGACTGAGTTGAAAATCCGGATGATTCACGGCGATCCTGAAAAAAACTGTCTGTACAAAACACTCGGATGAAACAGATTGGCAGTCCTGAGTTGGTGTCTCAGAGATCTCGGGGAGCATCATGAACTCCATCGGCATGACATCTTCGGTATTTTGATCGGCGGCAGCTACTGACAAAGTCACTGGAGCACTATGACTGGCACTGGATGATGAAGACTGACGCATTGGACAGTCATTCTTCCAATGACCTTTCTTTCCGCACAGTCGGCAACTTGTCTCCATGATTCTCTGCTGTAAGCTCTTGCGGCTCGACCAATTGGTCTTTGACTTGAACTTGCCTTTGAAGCCCTTGCCACGACCCTGACCCTTGATCGGCCAGAACCCTCTTGATTTCACCTTTTCACTAAGCTTCTTGCGAGCCTCAACATATGTGGAGTAAGCGGCTGCCAACTCCGGATCGTTCTGAACCAGTTCTGAAGCAGCCTGCTCAAAATCGGCCACAAAACAAGCATCCTCATCTCCTTCTGCAACAAGCGTCTCAATCATGTCGTCCTCTGGCATCTCATCATGTTGTGATACGTATGTGAAGTCATCGGCATCAGGTTGAGTTTCTGTGTCATTCATGGCTATGTTGGCATGATCATAAACTTTGGTTTTCACAGCTTTCTTGCTCAGACCTGTCATTTCTTGGAAAAACGATGTTCCCAGGAGACGGATGGCTTCCTGCACTCGTGGAACAGTCAAACGTCCTTCCAACGATGAATCACTTTCCAAAATCACACGTTTTTTGTCATCGCTTGTCAGGAGAGCACCTCTCAAGGTGATGTATGCCTGCAAATCTTCCAATTTGAGCTTTTGCGATTGCAACTTCGTCCACAAAATGTCAGCTCTTGCAAGGTACGAATCGTGGCTTTCATCGGCTTGCTGATTGCATTGGAACAAAGCACGTTCGGCATCAGAGTACTTTTTCTCTAATCCCAGCCTGCCCCAATGACCACCTAGCAGCTCAATCAACTTCTTCACACCTTTCTCATCGTTGACACACAACTCCTCATGGTGGAGCTGCAGCTTGGCGAAAGCAGAACCTGTTGTGTTTAAGATTAATCTCGTAATTAACTCAGACACCTTGTTCTTTGGCCAGACTGCATGCACCAACTGCACTTTCTGTTGGTACACCTGAAGGTCATCCTTACTCGGGTCGAAGGTGGGAACCAGGTAAGCTAACTGACTGGAGATGTTCTGTGACGATTCAGTGCCATCACTTGCTGTCGACATGACACCTCACTGCAGAAAACACAAGTCACTGCAAAGCCAGATTGCCAAAGGTACCCGGATGCCCCAGCTGTTTGCTGGGGCTCCGCTACCAATGTGATTGGTTAGCGGTTCTAACTGCCTCAGTCAAAGGTGAATGCCCCTCCACCAACTGGATGCTGCGGACACGCAGCCTTTTGGATCTCGATGCACCACGTAGCAAGTCCTCTTGCTGTACTAAGGCTGAACGCAGCCAGGCCAGAAAACGTATGGCTCCAAGGCGTTTATCCCACCCACCTCACGTCCTTGCAAAAGGGCTATTTGAGCCCACGGCCTGCAACACCCTGCAGTGTGGTTTCGGTGAACCCTGGCTGGAAACAAGGAGGAAGTGTCATGTATGAACATAGATGGAAATGAGCTGCTTTCACAATATACATATATATATAGACAATATATACATACATGCAAAAATATACATATATAAACAGTGTATATATATATATATATACATACATACATATATATATACATACATATATATATAGACAATATATACATACTGTATATTGATATATTAAAACAAATCTGTATTACATCTGACCAATTGGTGGTTTCATGGGCACTGAATGTTTGACCCCGCCCAGGTATTCCTACGATTCCAAGCTCTTGAAAGTCGTGGATGCGCCCTTCCTGAAGGTGCGAACTGTGGAGATGTCTACCAGGGTGAAGGGACGGGCCCAGACGGCCCAGAGGCAGATTCTCTACAGTTTTCACACCAACAAAAAGGGGGTAGCAATGATTTTCCATGGGAAACCCACAGGAAAAGCATAGGAACATGGTTTTAAAGGGGTTTATCATGGACCATGAATATCCATAAATGGGGTGACTCACTGACTTATAACTGGTATGTCGATTCACCACCCAGCTCTCCAAACAGTTTGGATATTGCATAACTGCATTACCATAAAGCAAAATATGGAGTTCTTGTACAATTCCATGTATTTATTTTTTTTAAAATAGAACACACACACACACACATCTCAGTGATCCAGCCTGTGTCTCCATCGCCAGTGAGCCAGGCGGTGCAAGTAGCGGTGGATGCGATGGTGAAACAAGATCCCAGTATCTCTGCTGGTGGACCCCCTTTCGTAATTTAACATACACTTCGCTATTGAAAATGGCCCAGTCGAAATCGTTGATTTACCCATTGAAAATTGTGATTTTCAGCTAGAAAATGGTGATGTTCAGCTATAAAATGGTGATTTTCCATCGTTTTTGGTATATTCACCAGAGGGTACTATGACAATTTCCTATGGGGATCCTGGGGATCGAACAAAACAGGTGCGAATTTCTGACCCAAAATTTCTGGGGTAACTGATGGACTCTGACGAAATATATATATATACACTCGTCTCATACCTCCCTATAAAATCTAGAGGGTCATCCCCCCCTATAAAACGAAATATTTATGGATATTTCTGTGGGTTTCACCCCCTGATTTTATAGTAAATTGGGGGGGTTAGTGCAAAATGCATGTTTTTAGGTAGCCTCAGTGCTGGTCATTTTATAGGCAGTTGTGCTTGGTGGTTAATTTTTGTCAATGTGTTTTTAATGATTTTTGAAACTTGGAAATTGCTGGACCATTTGAATATGACATTTGCTTATCGTAGCCTATCTCAAGTTATGTTTTTTCCCTTGCAGAAAACAACCACTCCAACGGAGGGGGAGCAGTCACAACACTCTTGCAGTGGGAAAGCAAAAACATGCAAACTATTGACCAACAATGTCTAGGCTGTGGCAGACATACACAGAATTGTACAGGGGTATACAACAAAATCAAACATTTCTGAGGCCAACCAGCACAAATAAACAAAACCTGGCTTCTGCAGAGAACCCCCCTCTATAAAATGAAGGGGTGTGACCCTATGAGGGTGCCAGAAAACTGTCTCTTCCCTGGAGAGCGCGATGGGAAAGCAAAAATCATGCAAACTTTTGACCAAAAGTGTCTAGGTTCTAGCAGGCATACACAGAATTGTACAGGTGCATACAACAAAATCAACAATTTTTGAGCCCAACCAGCACAAACAAACAAAACTTGGCTTCTGCAGAGAACCCCCCTCTATTAAATGAAGGGGTGTGACCCTATGATGGTGCCAGAAAACTGTCTCTTCCCTGGAGAGCGCAATGGGAAAGCAAAAATCATGCAAACTTTTGACCAAAAGTGTCTAGGTTCTAGCAGGCATACGCAGAATTGTACAGGTGCATAAAACTGTCTCTTCCCTGGAGAGCGCAATGGGAAAGCAAAAAAACATGCAAACTTTTGACCAAAAATGCTAGGTCGTGGCAGACATATACAGAATTGCATTCAATTTGATTCAAAGCCATCTCTTCTCAAATCTCTCCGAAGGCTGCATGGTCAAGGACCATCCTTGGCATTTGTAAAACCCCTAACCCTAACTTTCCAAATCCAAAGGCATAGGGAAGCAATGTGAAGCACTGGGGATCTGAAGCAGGGGAGAAAAAAGAAGCAAGCTTGCGCGTCAAGATGTATCAGGCAGCCGCTTTGGTTGAGACATGTGACATGCTGGTAAAGATGTAAAGATTTTGATGTAGTTTAGTTGGCAATTCTTGAGGTTCTCTTTAACAATTGTCCAAAATTATATAAATTTATCTGCATCGACGAAACATGGATGACAATTTTTTGTTCCCTATGGCATCCCGGTTAAACAAGCCTGCTTCTGGCATTTTACGGTACTTTGAGGATAGCCTCACTGCTGCTAATTTTATAGATGCCATCTAGTTTTATAGTACCCAAGCTGCTGGGATACACCCCCCACTATGTTGTTGAGTAGGAGGGTCAACCCTCCCAAAATATAGTCCCCAGGGGTTTCAAATATCTGGCTAGATGACAAACGACCTCACGTCGCGACGTCAGCAAGTAAATGATGCGAATTGTAAGATTGTTTTTTTTTGAAATGCTGCACCAAAAGGGGAGGCCAGGCAACCAAAAAAAGTTGCAGTTTAATGTTTAATCAACAAATAGGGGAACTATAGTGGGATATGTATATTAGAACATTCATTGAAGAACCAACCATCCAAGCAGATATTAGAGATTCTAACCCTTGATATCAACCATCAACAGTTGGTTCATCCGAGCAGTTTGGGATTAAACCCTTGATGAAACAACTGTTGATGGTGAACTTAATTTTCAGATCTAGTGGGATCGATTTAAGCATGGTCGACAAGCTTTGGGAAGAGGATCCCAAGTTGCTTATAGCCCGCCTGGTACACATACAAAAAGCTATTGAAAATGGCCATCGAAGTCGTGAAATCGTTGATTTGCCTAGCTATAAAATGGTGGATCTTTCCATAGTTGTTTTGGGACTGTTTAGCAGAGGGTATGTGATTTGTTGAATGAGTTGAAAGCAAAAACATGTGGGGAGACAAAGAGAATGGTGAATCAAAATAATCCAGCCAGAGTGATGATGGATTAAAATTTTATTCAATTACTAACCATTGAACTACAGGAATTTCAGTTATTGTTCTTGATGCTGTTTTCAGCCAGGTCTATAGATGACAAGCAACTGATTGAGGTCAGGTTTATCCGATTTATCCCATACTCAACCATAGATGACAGCCAGATGAATGATGGATTTTCAATCGTTTATTAGCAATGGAACTACAATTAAACTGGATTATATCACTACTTGTGGTGGATTCACTACACTTAAAATTTCTCATCAAGCCATCAGAGGTTGGTCAAAGCGGATGCTTCGTTCCCAGGTCTGGCGAGAGTAGAACCGCAGTTGGTCAAAGGTCTGGAGAATCTCTTCCAATGACAGGCGCGGCTGGATGTTTGAAGTTTGGAACTGGGAAAATTCTGGGAAGTATCTGAAATTGATGGATGATGCTCAGATGTTTAAAGCAATAAATAATGTAAAAGGTGAAGATTGGCAATCATAATATGCAATCATGGCCGTTTGTTTTTTGCTTTTGATGTAACATAATTAAAATTTCGAGTAACATCTCATCCTTGTTCTAGTATGCTAGTCATAATGAAACTTGAAACAAATCGAAACTTGAAAGTTTGAATCTCAGTGGTCAGGACAGTGACAAGTTGAAGATTCGAATGTCACTAGCTTGACCCAATGCGATGCAATCCACTTTGTACTGACTGCGATTGTATAAGTTCAGTTACAAGAACTTTACCCCTTGACCCAATTCTTATGTGAGAACCAGCGCGCTATCTAGTAGGGCACCAACTGGGAGGGCAACCAATAAAAACAATTTAAAACAAATAACCGAAAAAAAATATTAGTATATTTTTTATTTTTCTTATTTTTTTCATTTTTTCTTATTTTTTATTTTTTCTGATTTGTTTTTATTTTTCTTATTTTTTTTATTTTTCTTATTTGTTTTTATTTTTATTTATGTGTTTTTAGTTGTTTTTATGTGTAATTATTTGTTGTTTTTTCTTATTTTTCCTATTTTTCTTATTTTTTCGTATTTTTTCTGATTTTTTCTTATTTTTCCACCTTCGCAGGCCCAGCCCAAATAGTCACCTACCAAATAGTGACCTCATCCTCAGAATTGACCAATGGGCCAATCCCAGTAAGGTTTCATGTAAAACAAGCCACTTACTCAATCGATTGTCACTCCAGTATGTTTACTATGTTTGCCTTAACTGCGCGTTGGTGAAATCTCATGTTTCTGCAACCTAACAAGGCTTCAGGAAGTTTCCGTTGTACTGTATGTATTTGACTTCAAAACATAGGATAGGAAACTTGGGAATTAATTGGAATTAACAACTAAGACTAGGTTTACTTGATATTGTTTATGGTAGAGTTAGATGTATGTATTTCTTAAATTCATGTCGCAGTGATTAGCTAAAAAATAACGGAAATAGTCTAAACACTGGAAGAACATTGACCCCACTAGCTGGCCCGCTATAGATTCACTTTTGGAGTCTCTACAAATGTAGAATTGTACCATTTTTTGTCAAAGGACATGCCAGAAGTATGTTCTATCCTGTGGACAAGGATTGCTACCAATGACACCGTGCAGTGCCGCAGGTGAGCGCTTCTGTGCAGCTTCAGAGATCCTTTCTTCAAGTGACGTCTTGATCAGGAACGGTTTATGTAAAGATGGTCTTCGGACTGGAATGAACCCTGAAGTTTGCCCAGTAAGGAATTTTGTCCGACCCATCCTGGCCATCAATCCGATTACTTCTGGAATCATTCGGGCGAGTGAGGTCTTGCTGGTGCGTGTTTTGAACTTCGTAGCTCTCAGTTTTGATGCGGGACGCCGCGTGACGCAGCGCTGCCATCTACTGGGCTATATGATGCTGGCTTGCATCGTTGATTTGAAATGTGACTGTAACGACTGTATATAGTTGTGCTGCCTGTTATAGATTTATAGAGTGCTGCCAGATGTGTTGCTAAAGGGATTATCTCCTAAAGCAATTTCTCAACAAGCTCTGTCAGGATCCAGTAAACCCATGCCCACAGAAAGTCATCTACACATGGCTCCATTTTTCCAGTTGTGTTAAACTGTTGGAGGGCAACAGTTGGAAGCCAAACATAGAGCAAGAAAGAGCTGTAGTGACCTTGGAGTCAGCGGTATATGTTCCGCGGATGGAATCAATCCTTCAGCTCAGTTGAACACTGGGAAATCCTCTTAGTTTTGAGCTAAACTGGGCTACTGTACCCAAGTTTGGGAAAATCCGAGAAATCCTTGGGTATACTGAAAATGAATAGGACATTGAGATTTAAGTCCTTGGTTTCATTTACATAGTTGGCATAGGTTTCTTTGCCCTCAGTGTCTGGTGTCCAAGATGGAAACTCCATCTTGGATGGAAACACCAACACCCTGATGCAATATCTGTAGTCATCCGATGTAATTTCAAATCGAAGTAAAATCATGAACCCTCCTTAAATTCCACCATAAGAGCCATAAATACAAAGCACTTTGTTTCTGGCGCACCTCGTTACGCACCGGTCTCGCCACAAGTTGTGCCTCGCCAGTTGCAGCGAGCACCTCAGTTCACTGTACAGTGGTCTCGTTTCGCCTGTGCGGCGAGCGTTCTGTGAATGCCATCCTTGATGGCAAGCAGAAAAATGCGGTTGACACAACCGGTTGAAAGGTAATCATCCTAAGATTACACCACCATGTTCAAGTCAAATCCTCGAAATGGCTAACTGGTTGGTGGTTTGGAACATTTTTCATTTTTCCATATATTGGGAATAATGATCCCAAGTGACTCAAGTGATGATTATTTTTCAGAGGGGTTGAAACCAGCAACCAGCGATGCTCGTTTTTTATCGTTTGTTCACCGTGTTGAGGGTCCTTGTTAGTGTCGAATCAAGTATCCTACCCCTTGGTAAACATTGGTTTAACCCCATCCATCCGGGTGTCAAAAAAGTTCTGTCTTCTTTTGGTGATTATTCCCATAGGGGAATTGGGATGTCGTATAGCAAGCAACGTTATATATGTTTGATTCGAGATGTTTTTTTATTTTTGGGGAGGGTATACTGCACATTTGGGAAGGTATATGGAATTTTCATGATAATCCATCATGAGGATTTTCTGGTGTTTGCAAACAGATTTTCTAAAGGCAACATTCCCATATTCAGAAAATCTTCGCATACCATGTTTTCATCGTACTCCAGACCTGGGTTTTGGTATGTTACTTTGATAGGCATTTCAGCTCAATCTGGAGGGAACAGTTGGCCCACGGCGAATCCATTGAATGCCCCTCCACAGCTTTCTATCCCCTATGTCGTTCCAAAGGAGCTGTGGACGTTGAATGAATTGAAGGCTGCTTTGATAAGGAAGTTTCCTCATTTGTCTACAGAAGAAGGACAGGGTTGTCAAAGGTAACGTTTTTAAAGGTTGGCTAAGTAAAAATTAGCAAGTTTCTTCCCCGGGACCTCACCCAAGGTGAACTTGGAAAAATAGAACCCACTGGTGTGCCCCTGGAAGTTTGGGCCGGCTTTGGGATTGGAATTTTGGTTCTGGCCGCGAAATTTCCCTATGTGGTCTCTATACCAGCCACGCATACTCGGAATTCTTCGCATTCCACAAATTCTTCGCACTCCACATGGGACATCGCACTCCACAGCTAGGGACGCGCACATACTATAAAATCCACGCACTCTGCAAGATCTTCGCACTCCATAAAATCTTCGTACTCGGTAATTTTTCGTTTTTTTCGTTTTTTTTCTTTTTTTTTTCGTTTTTTTTTTTTGGCTAAAATCGCCTGGAATCACGTTTTCTGGAATATGGGAAAGGTAGCGGTTTTTCGTGAGACGTCTGTAGTTGCACATACTATCGCATTCCAGGCAATTTTGGCCAAAAAAAAAAAAAGAAAAAAGAAAAAAAAAGCTCAGCAGGGTGAAATGTGATAATTTTCTGGTATATGATGGAAAAAACTGGTGTTGGATTCATGGGGAAGGTCGAAGGGGGCCACGCATACTGTTTTATTTTCGCATTCCAGAAAATTAGCGCACTCCAGGGGTGGCATCGTACTCTATCGGTGGAATTATTTTGCACGGAAGAAAACAGGATCGTCGATGATTTGTGTTCCCAGATCCTGTTGTGCAGAGCTCTTTGCGGGGCCACAAAGATGTCAAGAAAGATGGGGATGGCGCTGCTGATGAAAGGCCAGCCAAGCGTGCCAGAACATAAGCTTAAAGCTTATGAATTGGGTTTTGGGATCGTGAAAAGTGTAGATGACAAATTTCCATAAGAACATTATTAATCCATATTTGGAAAGCTCAACATTTTTAATTATGACATTTCCAGAAATTGTTGAAAGTAAGGATCTTCTTTGGGGAAGAACATGTGCAGTCGACAACGTACGTGCCAGAAGAAAAGGAATACTTGGCAAACTGTATGAAATACAAATTTCACCTGAAAGGGGTCTTCGCAATTCCCTGAAATTTCCCAGCTATTTTGGCATGGAATATGTTCGGCCCTGGAATATGGGCAAGAAATTGCTAGAGATTTGGTTTGTTTGAAGATGGGTGTATGCTATAAGTCTAGCTCCACAAGGGGAAAATGATGTGGTACCTTCCTCGGTTCTTGTGGCAAGCTCATTTGCAGAGGTTTCACTACTTGATCAGCACACCCGAGGACGTTTTTGGAGTTCCGCAGCTATACATCCAAATGCCGAAAAGAACAAGAAACAAAGCGCTACTGTATGATTTGTATATTCAAGGTCATTTTGTCCCCTTTTCACACTATTATATAAATGTTCCCTGGAAGAGAGTGCTGCGCATTGCTTTGAAAGCTGTGCAACGGGCATTTGTTTGCTTCTAGCAATCCAATCTTGCCGTTTTCCTTGGAGATGTTGCACTTCGGTATGGGATCAATATCATGCATACCCCCTAAACTAGATGGTTTCAGATCCTAAACATGAGCAGCCACGTGTGCAGAAAGGCTTTAACTGACTTGACTCATAGCCTCTGGTAATTTAACAGTTTGCTATGATATGGATTGCCCATTCGATGATTTAATTATTCCTATTAAACGTTGTGATTCGCTATGTGAATTACCAAAAAGCGCAGCCTTTGTTTGATCGCTGACCGGTTCCTGGCAGGTGCAAAATCTTCGCGCCACTGGGCACGGGCACTTGGAACAACGGTTGGAACCATAAAAAGATCAGTGGCTTTCACAGGCAAAGCCAGGGAACCAATAATGCGCGATAAACCATTTAGATCCATTTAGTGATGAAAGTTCGGAGCCAACTGTGCTATCTAGAGGAAAACCCACCTTGTATGACTAGGTAACAATTGGTCTCAGTTGGGATATTGCAGGAATGTCAAATGTGATAGATAAA